GGGGTGTCTAAGGTTGGCCAGTACTCATTGAAGGAAGAATGAGGAAGCAGGAACAGAATGGGAGGAAGAAGAGAGGTGCTACTCTGTGGACAACTTCTCAAAGCTGCTGCTGCAGCAGGTGGGTAGCTAAGTCCCAGCTGGAGAAACCTCAGCTTCATTTGGCTGTAGAGAATTTGGCAGAGCAGGAGATCCAGTGGCCTCGGGGTATTCTTGTGGCCATGGCTAAGGATGCAGGTGCCAAGCTGGCTTATGCACCGCCCTGGATGTGGGAGATATCACAGTGTCCCTTGTGATCCAGAAATGTCCCAAGTACAAAATAAGACCCTCGATGTTCATGGTTTCCTTTTATTCCTTTTCTTTCTTTTTAAGAATGTCTACTTCCCAACCCATCGTCTGAGCAAGCGTCAGACAGCAAACCTCACCAAGACAAGCTGGAGGTAAGTCCTGACAGTGTGATTTTACCCGTGTGGTGTGTGCGTGGGACAGAACGGACATGCCCCTGTAATTTGTTTTCTCTAGAAATCTGTTTCTTTTCTGAGTCGACACCTCTCAGGGAGTACACCAGTGTAGCAGGGGATTTGGTTTCCCCCTTTGGATTTACACAGGAATATTTGGACGTAATGTTTTGAGAGTCTACCTTGCTGAGTTTTTCAGTTTGGTCCTCCGCCACATCTGGAGTCAGCTGCCCACTTGTTCTTTCCCTTCTCGGGCTAAGCGTGCTAGGTACTCTGCATTGGGATCTCCTGGCCAGTGTCTGTGCGTTCTCTTTAGCCAGAATATTGCTGTGTTGTCCAAACCTGCTTTCTGTTCTTTGACCACACAGTTGCGATAGCTCAAACCCATCTGATGTTTCTCTGGACCACTTAGTCTGTATATTATGGGTTTCTTATGATTATGTCCCTAAATATTTGTGTATAAATTTTGCAGTTTTTGATTATTAGTGATATCAGATTCATGTTATTTTGTTACAGACCTGCAGCTTAACTGTGCCAGCAGTTCCCTGCGAGAAAAAAGAATTGTGTGATTTCCAGGGGACAACAGCTACGGCTCATCCAGCCAAAAGCCCAACTGTTCCACCGAATCCGTACCGGAGGGTAGGGCCTCCTCACGCTCGCCCCCCTGCAGGAGCTCCGCCAGCCAGCCCTGCTCAGAAATTTTTGCCCACGGGGGTTCCTGCCATATGGCCACCACCACCGCCTGCTGGAGGTATGTGATTTGGTTTGTCAGGGAATTTTGTTTTTCTCTTCCTTGCACACTACAAAGACGAAACACTAGTTTGTTCATGAAATAGATGCTCACTTGACCGTGGCTCATCTACTCATGAGAGAGAAAGCAAAAGCCCAAACTGACTCTAATGCCATGTGAGTGAAGCATGACTTTTCAGATTGGGAAGGGAGCCAGCCAACCATAGACAGCCTTCATGTGAATGGAAGCCCACTCGCTTCCTTTTGCCCTCTTACAGTAACACGGGCATTATTTCACACTATATCAGTTGATAGAAAGCGGTTATGCTGGCTGCTACTGAAGATGATCCTAATTCCCATAGTCCACAAAAGGACTAGGTGAAATGGTCTTTCGTGAGTAGCTCCTGTGCGTTCCTAGTCTATTTACAACCTACTGATTGTAAGGCTGCTTTGATCATGTTTGGCCTCATAACTGCTGAATCTTTTGGCTTTGGTGGGTAACTTGGGATAAGAAACAAACAGACAGACAGCTGTGGGGTGGGTGGCGCTGGGGGAAATGGATTGCTTGACTCTTCTCCCCCACCATTCACAAAGACACAGGTGACTGCAGAATGAGTGGTCGTGTAAGAAATGCTGGGCAGAGCCCATGAACTGTCTTGTCTGATATCAAGACAAGTGCTTTGGAAATGGAAGGCCAAGGAAAATGAGTTTTGTCGGAGGGGGGCATGCGGGGAGGATATTTTCAGATACACGTTTGGATGCAGCCAAGTGTTTGCCCACCTTTCAGCCAGTCCTGCTTGCATCTGGCTAAGATGTCCCGAGCCAAACTACTGTTTTCCCATCACTCATTTCCTTCCACAGCCTCGTGGCGCTGTCTGAAGTTGGGCAATGTAGGTATGTGGGTTTCCGTGGTGAGTGGACAACAGGAAGAACTTGTGAAAGTCAACACAAAGTTTGAGAAGAGATTCGCTCAGGAAAGGCTGTGTATTGGCGTGGGAAGCATAAGGTTATCAGGTGGCAATATTGGGTTTCTATGGTGTTGTTGTCGGTTGTACGATTTAACGGACAAGCATTATGACAGTGAGCGTGAGGGTCAGAGGTGATCTTGGACGCTTGGATCTGTGTGCACATGGCTGCGATGGCATGGCTTAAGAGGTGATGGCATCTCAGTGGGCACGTTGACACCCTGTATCGTTGGACACGCCATGGAATCTTTGCTCAGGAAGCCGGGGTTTTGGTAAGGTTTATTTTTCTGTACCTGAAAGGCAGGGCTACAGGCAGGAGGCACCAGGGGTGTGTGGGCTGCATGTTGGGTCTCTGGATTCTTGTGTTTGTTTGTTTTCTGGAGAGTAGTTGATGTTTAGGGGAGAGGTAGCAGAGTCACACAGAGCAAAACGTGACAAGAGAGCTTGCGTCCTCTGCCCGACTCCACAAAAGCCACAGCCCAAATCCGGGTCGTTCTGATGCTGGGAGCCAGGAGTATAGTGGGAGTTTGCCGTGTGTCTGCAGGGTGCGATGGCCTTGGACCCGCCTCTGCTGGTTTTCCTGGCTTGGAGCCAGCGAGCGGGATTAGAAAACAGAGCAGCAGCCAGTGCTCCCCATGGTGGCCATTAGTATGTTGGTGAAGACTGCACTTAATGGATATGAAGCATCTGATACCTTGTGCATTCCAAATGTGCCAGCTCACAGTCTTCACCATTCAGTGACCACATAGCGAGTGTAGGTGCGTTTCAGGAGGATGGATGTTGTCAGGTGTTGAGGAGCAACCTTGCTTCCATGTCACGGATGGAAGGCCAGGCACTATGAAGCCGGCAGTATGTTGAAGGAGATGATCAGGTTGAAATGTTGAGGTTCCAGTTGTCCTAGATGTGGGCTGTTGTGAGTGAGTGAGTGAGTGTGTGTGTTTTCGCAGGGTGGGGAGTTTGAGGGCTCTTAGTTTTCCACCTCTTCTAGCTGTCCAAGGGGCTCAGGTGTAGGTAAAGGTATGTGTGAGGCTCAGATTGATGTAGGCTTGGCGTGGTGTCAGTCAAGTACGAAATGGAAATGACTTGTAGGACAAGGATGTTGGCAAGTGTCCGAACTGATGGATCGTGGAGTCTGGTGAATCGGGAGAGGAGTGAGCCAGTGAGGATGCTGAGAGGTCGGGGAACTAACCCTTAGGTCCGAGCCCCAAGCGAGCTGCAGTGTGAGTGACTAGGCGAGAAGGCAAGGGAAGGGTCAAAGAGTTGTATTCCCAGGAGGGAGGTCTGAATGGATGTCCTCGGACCCTGAGCATTTCCCGATGGTAGAGTCCAGGAACACGTATTGCCCAGCGGGGGTGTCTAAGGTTGGCCAGTACTCATTGAAGGAAGAATGAGGAAGCAGGAACAGAATGGGAGGAAGAAGAGAGGTGCTACTCTGTGGACAACTTCTCAAAGCTGCTGCTGCAGCAGGTGGGTAGCTAAGTCCCAGCTGGAGAAACCTCAGCTTCATTTGGCTGTAGAGAATTTGGCAGAGCAGGAGATCCAGTGGCCTCGGGGTATTCTTGTGGCCATGGCTAAGGATGCAGGTGCCAAGCTGGCTTATGCACCGCCCTGGATGTGGGAGATATCACAGTGTCCCTTGTGATCCAGAAATGTCCCAAGTACAAAATAAGACCCTCGATGTTCATGGTTTCCTTTTATTCCTTTTCTTTCTTTTTAAGCATGTCTACTTCCCAACCCATCGTCTGAGCCAGCGTCGGACAGCAAACCTCACCAAGACAAGCTGGAGGTAAGTCCTGACAGTGTAATTTTACCCGTGTGGTGTGTGCGTGGGACAGAACGGACATGCCCCTGTAATTTGTTTTCTCCAGAAATCTGTTTCTTTTCTGAGTCGACACCTCTCAGGGAGTACACCAGTGTAGCAGGGGATTTGGTTTCCCCCTTTGGATTTACACAGGAATATTTGGACGTAATGTTTTGAGAGTCTACCTTGCTGAGTTTTTCAGTTTGGTCCTCCGCCACATCTGGAGTCAGCTGCCCACTTGTTCTTTCCCTTCTCGGGCTAAGCGTGCTAGGTACTCTGCATTGGGGATCTCCTGGCCAGTGGCTGTGCGTTCTCTTTAGCCAGAATATTGCTGTGTTGTCCAAACCTGCTTTCTGTTCTTTGACCACACAGTTGCGATCGCTCAAACCCATCTGATGTTTCTCTGGACCACTTAGTCTGTATATTATGGGTTTCTTATGATTATGTCCCTAAATATTTGTGTCTAAATGTTGCATTTTTTGATTGTTAGTGATACCAGATTTATGTTATTTTGTTACAGACCTGCAGCTTCACTGTGCCAGCAGTTCCCTGCGAGGAGAAAAAAGAATTGTGTGATTTCCAGGGGACAACAGCCACGGCTCATCCAGCCAAAAGCCCAACTGTTCCACCGAATCCGTACCGGAGGGTAGGGCCTCCTCACGCTCGCCCCCCTGCAGGAGCTCCGCCAGCCAGCCCTGCTCAGAAATTTTTGCCCACGGGGGTTCCTGCCATATGGCCACCACCACCGCCTGCTGGAGGTATGTGATTTGGTTTGTCAGGGAATTTTGTTTTTCTCTTCCTTGCACACTACAAAGACGAAACACTAGTTTGTTCATGAAATAGATGCTCACTTGACCGTGGCTCATCTACTCATGAGAGAGAAAGCAAAAGCCCAAACTGACTCTAATGCCATGTGAGTGAAGCATGACTTTTCAGATTGGGAAGGGAGCCAGCCAACCATAGACAGCCTTCATGTGAATGGAAGCCCACTCGCTTCCTTTTGCCCTCTTACAGTAACACGGGCATTATTTCACACTATATCAGTTGATAGAAAGCGGTTATGCTGGCTGCTACTGAAGATGATCCTAATTCCCATAGTCCACAAAAGGACTAGGTGAAATGGTCTTTCGTGAGTAGCTCCTGTGCGTTCCTAGTCTATTTACAACCTACTGATTGTAAGGCTGCTTTGATCATGTTTGGCCTCATAACTGCTGAATCTTTTGGCTTTGGTGGGTAACTTGGGATAAGAAACAAACAGACAGACAGCTGTGGGGTGGGTGGCGCTGGGGGAAATGGATTGCTTGACTCTTCTCCCCCACCATTCACAAAGACACAGGTGACTGCAGAATGAGTGGTCGTGTAAGAAATGCTGGGCAGAGCCCATGAACTGTCTTGTCTGATATCAAGACAAGTGCTTTGGAAATGGAAGGCCAAGGAAAATGAGTTTTGTCGGAGGGGGGCATGCGGGGAGGATATTTTCAGATACACGTTTGGATGCAGCCAAGTGTTTGCCCACCTTTCAGCCAGTCCTGCTTGCATCTGGCTAAGATGTCCCGAGCCAAACTACTGTTTTCCCATCACTCATTTCCTTCCACAGCCTCGTGGCGCTGTCTGAAGTTGGGCAATGTAGGTATGTGGGTTTCCGTGGTGAGTGGACAACAGGAAGAACTTGTGAAAGTCAACACAAAGTTTGAGAAGAGATTCGCTCAGGAAAGGCTGTGTATTGGCGTGGGAAGCATAAGGTTATCAGGTGGCAATATTGGGTTTCTATGGTGTTGTTGTCGGGTTGTACGATTTAACGGACAAGCATTATGACAGTGAGCGTGAGGGTCAGAGGTGATCTTGGACGCTTGGATCTGTGTGCACATGGCTGCGATGGCATGGCTTAAGAGGTGATGGCATCTCAGTGGGCACGTTGACACCCTGTATCGTTGGACACGCCATGGAATCTTTGCTCAGGAAGCCGGGGTTTTGGTAAGGTTTATTTTTCTGTACCTGAAAGGCAGGGCTACAGGCAGGAGGCACCAGGGGTGTGTGGGCTGCATGTTGGGTCTCTGGATTCTTGTGTTTGTTTGTTTTCTGGAGAGTAGTTGATGTTTAGGGGAGAGGTAGCAGAGTCACACAGAGCAAAACGTGACAAGAGAGCTTGCGTCCTCTGCCCGACTCCACAAAAGCCACAGCCCAAATCCGGGTCGTTCTGATGCTGGGAGCCAGGAGTATAGTGGGAGTTTGCCGTGTGTCTGCAGGGTGCGATGGCCTTGGACCCGCCTCTGCTGGTTTTCCTGGCTTGGAGCCAGCGAGCGGGATTAGAAAACAGAGCAGCAGCCAGTGCTCCCCATGGTGGCCATTAGTATGTTGGTGAAGACTGCACTTAATGGATATGAAGCATCTGATACCTTGTGCATTCCAAATGTGCCAGCTCACAGTCTTCACCATTCAGTGACCACATAGCGAGTGTAGGTGCGTTTCAGGAGGATGGATGTTGTCAGGTGTTGAGGAGCAACCTTGCTTCCATGTCACGGATGGAAGGCCAGGCACTATGAAGCCGGCAGTATGTTGAAGGAGATGATCAGGTTGAAATGTTGAGGTTCCAGTTGTCCTAGATGTGGGCTGTTGTGAGTGAGTGAGTGAGTGTGTGTGTTTTCGCAGGGTGGGGAGTTTGAGGGCTCTTAGTTTTCCACCTCTTCTAGCTGTCCAAGGGGCTCAGGTGTAGGTAAAGGTATGTGTGAGGCTCAGATTGATGTAGGCTTGGCGTGGTGTCAGTCAAGTACGAAATGGAAATGACTTGTAGGACAAGGATGTTGGCAAGTGTCCGAAGTGATGGATCGTGGAGTCTGGTGAATCGGGAGAGGAGTGAGCCAGTGAGGATGCTGAGAGGTCGGGGAACTAACCCTTAGGTCCGAGCCCCAAGCGAGCTGCAGTGTGAGTGACTAGGCGAGAAGGCAAGGGAAGGGTCAAAGAGTTGTATTCCCAGGAGGGAGGTCTGAATGGATGTCCTCGGACCCTGAGCATTTCCCGATGGTAGAGTCCAGGAACACGTATTGCCCAGCGGGGGTGTCTAAGGTTGGCCAGTACTCATTGAAGGAAGAATGAGGAAGCAGGAACAGAATGGGAGGAAGAAGAGAGGTGCTACTCTGTGGACAACTTCTCAAAGCTGCTGCTGCAGCAGGTGGGTAGCTAAGTCCCAGCTGGAGAAACCTCAGCTTCATTTGGCTGTAGAGAATTTGGCAGAGCAGGAGATCCAGTGGCCTCGGGGTATTCTTGTGGCCATGGCTAAGGATGCAGGTGCCAAGCTGGCTTATGCACCGCCCTGGATGTGGGAGATATCACAGTGTCCCTTGTGATCCAGAAATGTCCCAAGTACAAAATAAGACCCTCGATGTTCATGGTTTCCTTTTATTCCTTTTCTTTCTTTTTAAGCATGTCTACTTCCCAACCCATCGTCTGAGCCAGCGTCGGACAGCAAACCTCACCAAGACAAGCTGGAGGTAAGTCCTGACAGTGTAATTTTACCCGTGTGGTGTGTGCGTGGGACAGAACGGACATGCCCCTGTAATTTGTTTTCTCCAGAAATCTGTTTCTTTTCTGAGTCGACACCTCTCAGGGAGTACACCAGTGTAGCAGGGGATTTGGTTTCCCCCTTTGGATTTACACAGGAATATTTGGACGTAATGTTTTGAGAGTCTACCTTGCTGAGTTTTTCAGTTTGGTCCTCCGCCACATCTGGTGTCAGCTGCCCACTTGTTCTTTCCCTTCTCGGGCTAAGCGTGCTAGGTACTCTGCATTGGGGATCTCCTGGCCAGTGGCTGTGCGTTCTCTTTAGCCAGAATATTGCTGTGTTGTCCAAACCTGCTTTCTGTTCTTTGACCACACAGTTGCGATCGCTCAAACCCATCTGATGTTTCTCTGGACCACTTAGTCTGTATATTATGGGTTTCTTATGATTATGTCCCTAAATATTTGTGTCTAAATGTTGCATTTTTTGATTGTTAGTGATACCAGATTTATGTGATTTTGTTACAGACCTGCAGCTTCACTGTGCCAGCAGTTCCCTGCGAGGAGAAAAAAGAATTGTGTGATTTCCAGGGGACAACAGCCACGGCTCATCCAGCCAAAAGCCCAACTGTTCCACCGAATCCGTACCGGAGGGTAGGGCCTCCTCACGCTCGCCCCCCTGCAGGAGCTCCGCCAGCCAGCCCTGCTCAGAAATTTTTGCCCACGGGGGTTCCTGCCATATGGCCACCACCACCGCCTGCTGGAGGTATGTGATTTGGTTTGTCAGGGAATTTTGTTTTTCTCTTCCTTGCACACTACAAAGACGAAACACTAGTTTGTTCATGAAATAGATGCTCACTTGACCGTGGCTCATCTACTCATGAGAGAGAAAGCAAAAGCCCAAACTGACTCTAATGCCATGTGAGTGAAGCATGACTTTTCAGATTGGGAAGGGAGCCAGCCAACCATAGACAGCCTTCATGTGAATGGAAGCCCACTCGCTTCCTTTTGCCCTCTTACAGTAACACGGGCATTATTTCACACTATATCAGTTGATAGAGAGCGGTTATGCTGGCTGCTACTGAAGATGATCCTAATTCCCATAGTCCACAAAAGGACTAGGTGAAATGGTCTTTCGTGAGTAGCTCCTGTGCGTTCCTAGTCTATTTACAACCTACTGATTGTAAGGCTGCTTTGATCATGTTTGGCCTCATAACTGCTGAATCTTTTGGCTTTGGTGGGTAACTTGGGATAAGAAACAAACAGACAGACAGCTGTGGGGTGGGTGGCGCTGGGGGAAATGGATTGCTTGACTCTTCTCCCCCACCATTCACAAAGACACAGGTGACTGCAGAATGAGTGGTCGTGTAAGAAATGCTGGGCAGAGCCCATGAACTGTCTTGTCTGATATCAAGACAAGTGCTTTGGAAATGGAAGGCCAAGGAAAATGAGTTTTGTCGGAGGGGGGCATGCGGGGAGGATATTTTCAGATACACGTTTGGATGCAGCCAAGTGTTTGCCCACCTTTCAGCCAGTCCTGCTTGCATCTGGCTAAGATGTCCCGAGCCAAACTACTGTTTTCCCATCACTCATTTCCTTCCACAGCCTCGTGGCGCTGTCTGAAGTTGGGCAATGTAGGTATGTGGGTTTCCGTGGTGAGTGGACAACAGGAAGAACTTGTGAAAGTCAACACAAAGTTTGAGAAGAGATTCGCTCAGGAAAGGCTGTGTATTGGCGTGGGAAGCATAAGGTTATCAGGTGGCAATATTGGGTTTCTCTGGTGTTGTTGTCGGGTTGTACGATTTAACGGACAAGCATTATGACAGTGAGCGTGAGGGTCAGAGGTGATCTTGGACGCTTGGATCTGTGTGCACATGGCTGCGATGGCATGGCTTAAGAGGTGATGGCATCTCAGTGGGCACGTTGACACCCTGTATCGTTGGACACGCCATGGAATCTTTGCTCAGGAAGCCGGGGTTTTGGTAAGGTTTATTTTTCTGTACCTGAAAGGCAGGGCTACAGGCAGGAGGCACCAGGGGTGTGTGGGCTGCATGTTGGGTCTCTGGATTCTTGTGTTTGTTTGTTTTCTGGAGAGTAGTTGATGTTTAGGGGAGAGGTAGCAGAGTCACACAGAGCAAAACGTGACAAGAGAGCTTGCGTCCTCTGCCCGACTCCACAAAAGCCACAGCCCAAATCCGGGTCGTTCTGATGCTGGGAGCCAGGAGTATAGTGGGAGTTTGCCGTGTGTCTGCAGGGTGCGATGGCCTTGGACCCGCCTCTGCTGGTTTTCCTGGCTTGGAGCCAGCGAGCGGGATTAGAAAACAGAGCAGCAGCCAGTGCTCCCCATGGTGGCCATTAGTATGTTGGTGAAGACTGCACTTAATGGATATGAAGCATCTGATACCTTGTGCATTCCAAATGTGCCAGCTCACAGTCTTCACCATTCAGTGACCACATAGCGAGTGTAGGTGCGTTTCAGGAGGATGGATGTTGTCAGGTGTTGAGGAGCAACCTTGCTTCCATGTCACGGATGGAAGGCCAGGCACTATGAAGCCGGCAGTATGTTGAAGGAGATGATCAGGTTGAAATGTTGAGGTTCCAGTTGTCCTAGATGTGGGCTGTTGTGAGTGAGTGAGTGAGTGTGTGTGTTTTCGCAGGGTGGGGAGTTTGAGGGCTCTTAGTTTTCCACCTCTTCTAGCTGTCCAAGGGGCTCAGGTGTAGGTAAAGGTATGTGTGAGGCTCAGATTGATGTAGGCTTGGCGTGGTGTCAGTCAAGTACGAAATGGAAATGACTTGTAGGACAAGGATGTTGGCAAGTGTCCGAACTGATGGATCGTGGAGTCTGGTGAATCGGGAGAGGAGTGAGCCAGTGAGGATGCTGAGAGGTCGGGGAACTAACCCTTAGGTCCGAGCCCCAAGCGAGCTGCAGTGTGAGTGACTAGGCGAGAAGGCAAGGGAAGGGTCAAAGAGTTGTATTCCCAGGAGGGAGGTCTGAATGGATGTCCTCGGACCCTGAGCATTTCCCGATGGTAGAGTCCAGGAACACGTATTGCCCAGCGGGGGTGTCTAAGGTTGGCCAGTACTCATTGAAGGAAGAATGAGGAAGCAGGAACAGAATGGGAGGAAGAAGAGAGGTGCTACTCTGTGGACAACTTCTCAAAGCTGCTGCTGCAGCAGGTGGGTAGCTAAGTCCCAGCTGGAGAAACCTCAGCTTCATTTGGCTGTAGAGAATTTGGCAGAGCAGGAGATCCAGTGGCCTCGGGGTATTCTTGTGGCCATGGCTAAGGATGCAGGTGCCAAGCTGGCTTATGCACCGCCCTGGATGTGGGAGATATCACAGTGTCCCTTGTGATCCAGAAATGTCCCAAGTACAAAATAAGACCCTCGATGTTCATGGTTTCCTTTTATTCCTTTTCTTTCTTTTTAAGCATGTCTACTTCCCAACCCATCGTCTGAGCCAGCGTCGGACAGCAAACCTCACCAAGACAAGCTGGAGGTAAGTCCTGACAGTGTAATTTTACCCGTGTGGTGTGTGCGTGGGACAGAACGGACATGCCCCTGTAATTTGTTTTCTCCAGAAATCTGTTTCTTTTCTGAGTCGACACCTCTCAGGGAGTACACCAGTGTAGCAGGGGATTTGGTTTCCCCCTTTGGATTTACACAGGAATATTTGGACGTAATGTTTTGAGAGTCTACCTTGCTGAGTTTTTCAGTTTGGTCCTCCGCCACATCTGGAGTCAGCTGCCCACTTGTTCTTTCCCTTCTCGGGCTAAGCGTGCTAGGTACTCTGCATTGGGGATCTCCTGGCCAGTGGCTGTGCGTTCTCTTTAGCCAGAATATTGCTGTGTTGTCCAAACCTGCTTTCTGTTCTTTGACCACACAGTTGCGATCGCTCAAACCCATCTGATGTTTCTCTGGACCACTTAGTCTGTATATTATGGGTTTCTTATGATTATGTCCCTAAATATTTGTGTCTAAATGTTGCATTTTTTGATTGTTAGTGATACCAGATTTATGTTATTTTGTTACAGACCTGCAGCTTCACTGTGCCAGCAGTTCCCTGCGAGGAGAAAAAAGAATTGTGTGATTTCCAGGGGACAACAGCCACGGCTCATCCAGCCAAAAGCCCAACTGTTCCACCGAATCCGTACCGGAGGGTAGGGCCTCCTCACGCTCGCCCCCCTGCAGGAGCTCCGCCAGCCAGCCCTGCTCACAAATTTTTGCCCACGGGGGTTCCTGCCATATGGCCACCACCACCGCCTGCTGGAGGTATGTGATTTGGTTTGTCAGGGAATTTTGTTTTTCTCTTCCTTGCACACTACAAAGACGAAACACTAGTTTGTTCATGAAATAGATGCTCACTTGACCGTGGCTCATCTACTCATGAGAGAGAAAGCAAAAGCCCAAACTGACTCTAATGCCATGTGAGTGAAGCATGACTTTTCAGATTGGGAAGGGAGCCAGCCAACCATAGACAGCCTTCATGTGAATGGAAGCCCACTCGCTTCCTTTTGCCCTCTTACAGTAACACGGGCATTATTTCACACTATATCAGTTGATAGAGAGCGGTTATGCTGGCTGCTACTGAAGATGATCCTAATTCCCATAGTCCACAAAAGGACTAGGTGAAATGGTCTTTCGTGAGTAGCTCCTGTGCGTTCCTAGTCTATTTACAACCTACTGATTGTAAGGCTGCTTTGATCATGTTTGGCCTCATAACTGCTGAATCTTTTGGCTTTGGTGGGTAACTTGGGATAAGAAACAAACAGACAGACAGCTGTGGGGTGGGTGGCGCTGGGGGAAATGGATTGCTTGACTCTTCTCCCCCACCATTCACAAAGACACAGGTGACTGCAGAATGAGTGGTCGTGTAAGAAATGCTGGGCAGAGCCCATGAACTGTCTTGTCTGATATCAAGACAAGTGCTTTGGAAATGGAAGGCCAAGGAAAATGAGTTTTGTCGGAGGGGGGCATGCGGGGAGGATATTTTCAGATACACGTTTGGATGCAGCCAAGTGTTTGCCCACCTTTCAGCCAGTCCTGCTTGCATCTGGCTAAGATGTCCCGAGCCAAACTACTGTTTTCCCATCACTCATTTCCTTCCACAGCCTCGTGGCGCTGTCTGAAGTTGGGCAATGTAGGTATGTGGGTTTCCGTGGTGAGTGGACAACAGGAAGAACTTGTGAAAGTCAACACAAAGTTTGAGAAGAGATTCGCTCAGGAAAGGCTGTGTATTGGCGTGGGAAGCATAAGGTTATCAGGTGGCAATATTGGGTTTCTATGGTGTTGTTGTCGGGTTGTACGATTTAACGGACAAGCATTATGACAGTGAGCGTGAGGGTCAGAGGTGATCTTGGACGCTTGGATCTGTGTGCACATGGCTGCGATGGCATGGCTTAAGAGGTGATGGCATCGCAGTGGGCACGTTGACACCCTGTATCGTTGGACACGCCATGGAATCTTTGTTCAGGAAGCCGGGGTTTTGGTAAGGTTTATTTTTCTGTACCTGAAAGGCAGGGCTACAGGGAGGAGGCACTAGGGGTGTGTGGGCTGCATGTTGGGTCTCTGGATTCTTCTGTTTGTTTGTTTTCTGGAGAGTAGTTGATGTTTAGGGGAGAGGTAGCAGAGTCACACAGAGCAAAACGTGACAAGAGAGCTTGCGTCCTCTGCCCGACTCCACAAAAGCCACAGCCCAAATCCGGGTCGTTCTGATGCTGGGAGCCAGGAGTATAGTGGGAGTTTGCCGTGTGTCTGCAGGGTGCGATGGCCTTGGACCCGCCTCTGCTGGTTTTCCTGGCTTGGAGCCAGCGAGCGGGATTAGAAAACAGAGCAGCAGCCAGTGCTCCCCATGGTGGCCATTAGTATGTTGGTGAAGACTGCACTTAATGGATATGAAGCATCTGATACCTTGTGCATTCCAAATGTGCCAGCTCACAGTCTTCACCATTCAGTGACCACATAGCGAGTGTAGGTGCGTTTCAGGAGGATGGATGTTGTCAGGTGTTGAGGAGCAACCTTGCTTCCATGTCACGGATGGAAGGCCAGGCACTATGAAGCCGGCAGTATGTTGAAGGAGATGATCAGGTTGAAATGTTGAGGTTCCAGTTGTCCTAGATGTGGGCTGTTGTGAGTGAGTGAGTGAGTGTGTGTGTTTTCGCAGGGTGGGGAGTTTGAGGGCTCTTAGTTTTCCACCTCTTCTAGCTGTCCAAGGGGCTCAGGTGTAGGTAAAGGTATGTGTGAGGCTCAGATTGATGTAGGCTTGGCGTGGTGTCAGTCAAGTACGAAATGGAAATGACTTGTAGGACAAGGATGTTGGCAAGTGTCCGAACTGATGGATCGTGGAGTCTGGTGAATCGGGAGAGGAGTGAGCCAGTGAGGATGCTGAGAGGTCGGGGAACTAACCCTTAGGTCCGAGCCCCAAGCGAGCTGCAGTGTGAGTGACTAGGCGAGAAGGCAAGGGAAGGGTCAAAGAGTTGTATTCCCAGGAGGGAGGTCTGAATGGATGTCCTCGGACCCTGAGCATTTCCCGATGGTAGAGTCCAGGAACACGTATTGCCCAGCGGGGGTGTCTAAGGTTGGCCAGTACTCATTGAAGGAAGAATGAGGAAGCAGGAACAGAATGGGAGGAAGAAGAGAGGTGCTACTCTGTGGACAACTTCTCAAAGCTGCTGCTGCAGCAGGTGGGTAGCTAAGTCCCAGCTGGAGAAACCTCAGCTTCATTTGGCTGTAGAGAATTTGGCAGAGCAGGAGATCCAGTGGCCTCGGGGTATTCTTGTGGCCATGGCTAAGGATGCAGGTGCCAAGCTGGCTTATGCACCGCCCTGGATGTGGGAGATATCACAGTGTCCCTTGTGATCCAGAAATGTCCCAAGTACAAAATAAGACCCTCGATGTTCATGGTTTCCTTTTATTCCTTTTCTTTCTTTTTAAGCATGTCTACTTCCCAACCCATCGTCTGAGCCAGCGTCGGACAGCAAACCTCACCAAGACAAGCTGGAGGTAAGTCCTGACAGTGTAATTTTACCCGTGTGGTGTGTGCGTGGGACAGAACGGACATGCCCCTGTAATTTGTTTTCTCCAGAAATCTGTTTCTTTTCTGAGTCGACACCTCTCAGGGAGTACACCAGTGTAGCAGGGGATTTGGTTTCCCCCTTTGGATTTACACAGGAATATTTGGACGTAATGTTTTGAGAGTCTACCTTGCTGAGTTTTTCAGTTTGGTCCTCCGCCACATCTGGAGTCAGCTGCCCACTTGTTCTTTCCCTTCTCGGGCTAAGCGTGCTAGGTACTCTGCATTGGGGATCTCCTGGCCAGTGGCTGTGCGTTCTCTTTAGCCAGAATATTGCTGTGTTGTCCAAACCTGCTTTCTGTTCTTTGACCACACAGTTGCGATCGCTCAAACCCATCTGATGTTTCTCTGGACCACTTAGTCTGTATATTATGGGTTTCTTATGATTATGTCCCTAAATATTTGTGTCTAAATGTTGCATTTTTTGATTGTTAGTGATACCAGATTTATGTTATTTTGTTACAGACCTGCAGCTTCACTGTGCCAGCAGTTCCCTGCGAGGAGAAAAAAGAATTGTGTGATTTCCAGGGGACAACAGCTACGGCTCATCCAGCCAAAAGCCCAACTGTTCCACCGAATCCGTACCGGAGGGTAGGGCCTCCTCACGCTCGCCCCCCTGCAGGAGCTCCGCCAGCCAGCCCTGCTCAGAAATTTTTGCCCACGGGGGTTCCTGCCATATGGCCACCACCACCGCCTGCTGGAGGTATGTGATTTGGTTTGTCAGGGAATTTTGTTTTTCTCTTCCTTGCACACTACAAAGACGAAACACTAGTTTGTTCATGAAATAGATGCTCACTTGACCGTGGCTCATCTACTCATGAGAGAGAAAGCAAAAGCCCAAACTGACTCTAATGCCATGTGAGTGAAGCATGACTTTTCAGATTGGGAAGGGAGCCAGCCAACCATAGACAGCCTTCATGTGAATGGAAGCCCACTCGCTTCCTTTTGCCCTCTTACAGTAACACGGGCATTATTTCACACTATATCAGTTGATAGAGAGCGGTTATGCTGGCTGCTACTGAAGATGATCCTAATTCCCATAGTCCACAAAAGGACTAGGTGAAATGGTCTTTCGTGAGTAGCTCCTGTGCGTTCCTAGTCTATTTACAACCTACTGATTGTAAGGCTGCTTTGATCATGTTTGGCCTCATAACTGCTGAATCTTTTGGCTTTGGTGGGTAACTTGGGATAAGAAACAAACAGACAGACAGCTGTGGGGTGGGTGGCGCTGGGGGAAATGGATTGCTTGACTCTTCTCCCCCACCATTCACAAAGACACAGGTGACTGCAGAATGAGTGGTCGTGTAAGAAATGCTGGGCAGAGCCCATGAACTGTCTTGTCTGATATCAAGACAAGTGCTTTGGAAATGGAAGGCCAAGGAAAATGAGTTTTGTCGGAGGGGGGCATGCGGGGAGGATATTTTCAGATACACGTTTGGATGCAGCCAAGTGTTTGCCCACCTTTCAGCCAGTCCTGCTTGCATCTGGCTAAGATGTCCCGAGCCAAACTACTGTTTTCCCATCACTCATTTCCTTCCACAGCCTCGTGGCGCTGTCTGAAGTTGGGCAATGTAGGTATGTGGGTTTCCGTGGTGAGTGGACAACAGGAAGAACTTGTGAAAGTCAACACAAAGTTTGAGAAGAGATTCGCTCAGGAAAGGCTGTGTATTGGCGTGGGAAGCATAAGGTTATCAGGTGGCAATATTGGGTTTCTATGGTGTTGTTGTCGGGTTGTACGATTTAACGGACAAGCATTATGACAGTGAGCGTGAGGGTCAGAGGTGATCTTGGACGCTTGGATCTGTGTGCACATGGCTGCGATGGCATGGCTTAAGAGGTGATGGCATCTCAGTGGGCACGTTGACACCCTGTATCGTTGGACACGCCATGGAATCTTTGCTCAGGAAGCCGGGGTTTTGGTAAGGTTTATTTTTCTGTACCTGAAAGGCAGGGCTACAGGCAGGAGGCACCAGGGGTGTGTGGGCTGCATGTTGGGTCTCTGGATTCTTGTGTTTGTTTGTTTTCTGGAGAGTAGTTGATGTTTAGGGGAGAGGTAGCAGAGTCACACAGAGCAAAACGTGACAAGAGAGCTTGCGTCCTCTGCCCGACTCCACAAAAGCCACAGCCCAAATCCGGGTCGTTCTGATGCTGGGAGCCAGGAGTATAGTGGGAGTTTGCCGTGTGTCTGCAGGGTGCGATGGCCTTGGACCCGCCTCTGCTGGTTTTCCTGGCTTGGAGCCAGCGAGCGGGATTAGAAAACAGAGCAGCAGCCAGTGCTCCCCATGGTGGCCATTAGTATGTTGGTGAAGACTGCACTTAATGGATATGAAGCATCTGATACCTTGTGCATTCCAAATGTGCCAGCTCACAGTCTTCACCATTCAGTGACCACATAGCGAGTGTAGGTGCGTTTCAGGAGGATGGATGTTGTCAGGTGTTGAGGAGCAACCTTGCTTCCATGTCACGGATGGAAGGCCAGGCACTATGAAGCCGGCAGTATGTTGAAGGAGATGATCAGGTTGAAATGTTGAGGTTCCAGTTGTCCTAGATGTGGGCTGTTGTGAGTGAGTGAGTGAGTGTGTGTGTTTTCGCAGGGTGGGGAGTTTGAGGGCTCTTAGTTTTCCACCTCTTCTAGCTGTCCAAGGGGCTCAGGTGTAGGTAAAGGTATGTGTGAGGCTCAGATTGATGTAGGCTTGGCGTGGTGTCAGTCAAGTACGAAATGGAAATGACTTGTAGGACAAGGATGTTGGCAAGTGTCCGAACTGATGGATCGTGGAGTCTGGTGAATCGGGAGAGGAGTGAGCCAGTGAGGATGCTGAGAGGTCGGGGAACTAACCCTTAGGTCCGAGCCCCAAGCGAGCTGCAGTGTGAGTGACTAGGCGAGAAGGCAAGGGAAGGGTCAAAGAGTTGTATTCCCAGGAGGGAGGTCTGAATGGATGTCCTCGGACCCTGAGCATTTCCCGATGGTAGAGTCCAGGAACACGTATTGCCCAGCGGGGGTGTCTAAGGTTGGCCAGTACTCATTGAAGGAAGAATGAGGAAGCAGGAACAGAATGGGAGGAAGAAGAGAGGTGCTACTCTGTGGACAACTTCTCAAAGCTGCTGCTGCAGCAGGTGGGTAGCTAAGTCCCAGCTGGAGAAACCTCAGCTTCATTTGGCTGTAGAGAATTTGGCAGAGCAGGAGATCCAGTGGCCTCGGGGTATTCTTGTGGCCATGGCTAAGGATGCAGGTGCCAAGCTGGCTTATGCACCGCCCTGGATGTGGGAGATATCACAGTGTCCCTTGTGATCCAGAAATGTCCCAAGTACAAAATAAGACCCTCGATGTTCATGGTTTCCTTTTATTCCTTTTCTTTCTTTTTAAGCATGTCTACTTCCCAACCCATCGTCTGAGCCAGCGTCGGACAGCAAACCTCACCAAGACAAGCTGGAGGTAAGTCCTGACAGTGTAATTTTACCCGTGTGGTGTGTGCGTGGGACAGAACGGACATGCCCCTGTAATTTGTTTTCTCCAGAAATCTGTTTCTTTTCTGAGTCGACACCTCTCAGGGAGTACACCAGTGTAGCAGGGGATTTGGTTTCCCCCTTTGGATTTACACAGGAATATTTGGACGTAATGTTTTGAGAGTCTACCTTGCTGAGTTTTTCAGTTTGGTCCTCCGCCACATCTGGTGTCAGCTGCCCACTTGTTCTTTCCCTTCTCGGGCTAAGCGTGCTAGGTACTCTGCATTGGGGATCTCCTGGCCAGTGGCTGTGCGTTCTCTTTAGCCAGAATATTGCTGTGTTGTCCAAACCTGCTTTCTGTTCTTTGACCACACAGTTGCGATCGCTCAAACCCATCTGATGTTTCTCTGGACCACTTAGTCTGTATATTATGGGTTTCTTATGATTATGTCCCTAAATATTTGTGTCTAAATGTTGCATTTTTTGATTGTTAGTGATACCAGATTTATGTGATTTTGTTACAGACCTGCAGCTTCACTGTGCCAGCAGTTCCCTGCGAGGAGAAAAAAGAATTGTGTGATTTCCAGGGGACAACAGCCACGGCTCATCCAGCCAAAAGCCCAACTGTTCCACCGAATCCGTACCGGAGGGTAGGGCCTCCTCACGCTCGCCCCCCTGCAGGAGCTCCGCCAGCCAGCCCTGCTCACAAATTTTTGCCCACGGGGGTTCCTGCCATATGGCCACCACCACCGCCTGCTGGAGGTATGTGATTTGGTTTGTCAGGGAATTTTGTTTTTCTCTTCCTTGCACACTACAAAGACGAAACACTAGTTTGTTCATGAAATAGATGCTCACTTGACCGTGGCTCATCTACTCATGAGAGAGAAAGCAAAAGCCCAAACTGACTCTAATGCCATGTGAGTGAAGCATGACTTTTCAGATTGGGAAGGGAGCCAGCCAACCATAGACAGCCTTCATGTGAATGGAAGCCCACTCGCTTCCTTTTGCCCTCTTACAGTAACACGGGCATTATTTCACACTATATCAGTTGATAGAGAGCGGTTATGCTGGCTGCTACTGAAGATGATCCTAATTCCCATAGTCCACAAAAGGACTAGGTGAAATGGTCTTTCGTGAGTAGCTCCTGTGCGTTCCTAGTCTATTTACAACCTACTGATTGTAAGGCTGCTTTGATCATGTTTGGCCTCATAACTGCTGAATCTTTTGGCTTTGGTGGGTAACTTGGGATAAGAAACAAACAGACAGACAGCTGTGGGGTGGGTGGCGCTGGGGGAAATGGATTGCTTGACTCTTCTCCCCCACCATTCACAAAGACACAGGTGACTGCAGAATGAGTGGTCGTGTAAGAAATGCTGGGCAGAGCCCATGAACTGTCTTGTCTGATATCAAGACAAGTGCTTTGGAAATGGAAGGCCAAGGAAAATGAGTTTTGTCGGAGGGGGGCATGCGGGGAGGATATTTTCAGATACACGTTTGGATGCAGCCAAGTGTTTGCCCACCTTTCAGCCAGTCCTGCTTGCATCTGGCTAAGATGTCCCGAGCCAAACTACTGTTTTCCCATCACTCATTTCCTTCCACAGCCTCGTGGCGCTGTCTGAAGTTGGGCAATGTAGGTATGTGGGTTTCCGTGGTGAGTGGACAACAGGAAGAACTTGTGAAAGTCAACACAAAGTTTGAGAAGAGATTCGCTCAGGAAAGGCTGTGTATTGGCGTGGGAAGCATAAGGTTATCAGGTGGCAATATTGGGTTTCTATGGTGTTGTTGTCGGGTTGTACGATTTAACGGACAAGCATTATGACAGTGAGCGTGAGGGTCAGAGGTGATCTTGGACGCTTGGATCTGTGTGCACATGGCTGCGATGGCATGGCTTAAGAGGTGATGGCATCTCAGTGGGCACGTTGACACCCTGTATCGTTGGACACGCCATGGAATCTTTGCTCAGGAAGCCGGGGTTTTGGTAAGGTTTATTTTTCTGTACCTGAAAGGCAGGGCTACAGGCAGGAGGCACCAGGGGTGTGTGGGCTGCATGTTGGGTCTCTGGATTCTTGTGTTTGTTTGTTTTCTGGAGAGTAGTTGATGTTTAGGGGAGAGGTAGCAGAGTCACACAGAGCAAAACGTGACAAGAGAGCTTGCGTCCTCTGCCCGACTCCACAAAAGCCACAGCCCAAATCCGGGTCGTTCTGATGCTGGGAGCCAGGAGTATAGTGGGAGTTTGCCGTGTGTCTGCAGGGTGCGATGGCCTTGGACCCGCCTCTGCTGGTTTTCCTGGCTTGGAGCCAGCGAGCGGGATTAGAAAACAGAGCAGCAGCCAGTGCTCCCCATGGTGGCCATTAGTATGTTGGTGAAGACTGCACTTAATGGATATGAAGCATCTGATACCTTGTGCATTCCAAATGTGCCAGCTCACAGTCTTCACCATTCAGTGACCACATAGCGAGTGTAGGTGCGTTTCAGGAGGATGGATGTTGTCAGGTGTTGAGGAGCAACCTTGCTTCCATGTCACGGATGGAAGGCCAGGCACTATGAAGCCGGCAGTATGTTGAAGGAGATGATCAGGTTGAAATGTTGAGGTTCCAGTTGTCCTAGATGTGGGCTGTTGTGAGTGAGTGAGTGAGTGTGTGTGTTTTCGCAGGGTGGGGAGTTTGAGGGCTCTTAGTTTTCCACCTCTTCTAGCTGTCCAAGGGGCTCAGGTGTAGGTAAAGGTATGTGTGAGGCTCAGATTGATGTAGGCTTGGCGTGGTGTCAGTCAAGTACGAAATGGAAATGACTTGTAGGACAAGGATGTTGGCAAGTGTCCGAACTGATGGATCGTGGAGTCTGGTGAATCGGGAGAGGAGTGAGCCAGTGAGGATGCTGAGAGGTCGGGGAACTAACCCTTAGGTCCGAGCCCCAAGCGAGCTGCAGTGTGAGTGACTAGGCGAGAAGGCAAGGGAAGGGTCAAAGAGTTGTATTCCCAGGAGGGAGGTCTGAATGGATGTCCTCGGACCCTGAGCATTTCCCGATGGTAGAGTCCAGGAACACGTATTGCCCAGCGGGGGTGTCTAAGGTTGGCCAGTACTCATTGAAGGAAGAATGAGGAAGCAGGAACAGAATGGGAGGAAGAAGAGAGGTGCTACTCTGTGGACAACTTCTCAAAGCTGCTGCTGCAGCAGGTGGGTAGCTAAGTCCCAGCTGGAGAAACCTCAGCTTCATTTGGCTGTAGAGAATTTGGCAGAGCAGGAGATCCAGTGGCCTCGGGGTATTCTTGTGGCCATGGCTAAGGATGCAGGTGCCAAGCTGGCTTATGCACCGCCCTGGATGTGGGAGATATCACAGTGTCCCTTGTGATCCAGAAATGTCCCAAGTACAAAATAAGACCCTCGATGTTCATGGTTTCCTTTTATTCCTTTTCTTTCTTTTTAAGCATGTCTACTTCCCAACCCATCGTCTGAGCCAGCGTCGGACAGCAAACCTCACCAAGACAAGCTGGAGGTAAGTCCTGACAGTGTAATTTTACCCGTGTGGTGTGTGCGTGGGACAGAACGGACATGCCCCTGTAATTTGTTTTCTCCAGAAATCTGTTTCTTTTCTGAGTCGACACCTCTCAGGGAGTACACCAGTGTAGCAGGGGATTTGGTTTCCCCCTTTGGATTTACACAGGAATATTTGGACGTAATGTTTTGAGAGTCTACCTTGCTGAGTTTTTCAGTTTGGTCCTCCGCCACATCTGGTGTCAGCTGCCCACTTGTTCTTTCCCTTCTCGGGCTAAGCGTGCTAGGTACTCTGCATTGGGGATCTCCTGGCCAGTGGCTGTGCGTTCTCTTTAGCCAGAATATTGCTGTGTTGTCCAAACCTGCTTTCTGTTCTTTGACCACACAGTTGCGATCGCTCAAACCCATCTGATGTTTCTCTGGACCACTTAGTCTGTATATTATGGGTTTCTTATGATTATGTCCCTAAATATTTGTGTCTAAATGTTGCATTTTTTGATTGTTAGTGATACCAGATTTATGTTATTTTGTTACAGACCTGCAGCTTCACTGTGCCAGCAGTTCCCTGCGAGGAGAAAAAAGAATTGTGTGATTTCCAGGGGACAACAGCTACGGCTCATCCAGCCAAAAGCCCAACTGTTCCACCGAATCCGTACCGGAGGGTAGGGCCTCCTCACGCTCGCCCCCCTGCAGGAGCTCCGCCAGCCAGCCCTGCTCAGAAATTTTTGCCCACGGGGGTTCCTGCCATATGGCCACCACCACCGCCTGCTGGAGGTATGTGATTTGGTTTGTCAGGGAATTTTGTTTTTCTCTTCCTTGCACACTACAAAGACGAAACACTAGTTTGTTCATGAAATAGATGCTCACTTGACCGTGGCTCATCTACTCATGAGAGAGAAAGCAAAAGCCCAAACTGACTCTAATGCCATGTGAGTGAAGCATGACTTTTCAGATTGGGAAGGGAGCCAGCCAACCATAGACAGCCTTCATGTGAATGGAAGCCCACTCGCTTCCTTTTGCCCTCTTACAGTAACACGGGCATTATTTCACACTATATCAGTTGATAGAGAGCGGTTATGCTGGCTGCTACTGAAGATGATCCTAATTCCCATAGTCCACAAAAGGACTAGGTGAAATGGTCTTTCGTGAGTAGCTCCTGTGCGTTCCTAGTCTATTTACAACCTACTGATTGTAAGGCTGCTTTGATCATGTTTGGCCTCATAACTGCTGAATCTTTTGGCTTTGGTGGGTAACTTGGGATAAGAAACAAACAGACAGACAGCTGTGGGGTGGGTGGCGCTGGGGGAAATGGATTGCTTGACTCTTCTCCCCCACCATTCACAAAGACACAGGTGACTGCAGAATGAGTGGTCGTGTAAGAAATGCTGGGCAGAGCCCATGAACTGTCTTGTCTGATATCAAGACAAGTGCTTTGGAAATGGAAGGCCAAGGAAAATGAGTTTTGTCGGAGGGGGGCATGCGGGGAGGATATTTTCAGATACACGTTTGGATGCAGCCAAGTGTTTGCCCACCTTTCAGCCAGTCCTGCTTGCATCTGGCTAAGATGTCCCGAGCCAAACTACTGTTTTCCCATCACTCATTTCCTTCCACAGCCTCGTGGCGCTGTCTGAAGTTGGGCAATGTAGGTATGTGGGTTTCCGTGGTGAGTGGACAACAGGAAGAACTTGTGAAAGTCAACACAAAGTTTGAGAAGAGATTCGCTCAGGAAAGGCTGTGTATTGGCGTGGGAAGCATAAGGTTATCAGGTGGCAATATTGGGTTTCTATGGTGTTGTTGTCGGGTTGTACGATTTAACGGACAAGCATTATGACAGTGAGCGTGAGGGTCAGAGGTGATCTTGGACGCTTGGATCTGTGTGCACATGGCTGCGATGGCATGGCTTAAGAGGTGATGGCATCTCAGTGGGCACGTTGACACCCTGTATCGTTGGACACGCCATGGAATCTTTGCTCAGGAAGCCGGGGTTTTGGTAAGGTTTATTTTTCTGTACCTGAAAGGCAGGGCTACAGGCAGGAGGCACCAGGGGTGTGTGGGCTGCATGTTGGGTCTCTGGATTCTTGTGTTTGTTTGTTTTCTGGAGAGTAGTTGATGTTTAGGGGAGAGGTAGCAGAGTCACACAGAGCAAAACGTGACAAGAGAGCTTGCGTCCTCTGCCCGACTCCACAAAAGCCACAGCCCAAATCCGGGTCGTTCTGATGCTGGGAGCCAGGAGTATAGTGGGAGTTTGCCGTGTGTCTGCAGGGTGCGATGGCCTTGGACCCGCCTCTGCTGGTTTTCCTGGCTTGGAGCCAGCGAGCGGGATTAGAAAACAGAGCAGCAGCCAGTGCTCCCCATGGTGGCCATTAGTATGTTGGTGAAGACTGCACTTAATGGATATGAAGCATCTGATACCTTGTGCATTCCAAATGTGCCAGCTCACAGTCTTCACCATTCAGTGACCACATAGCGAGTGTAGGTGCGTTTCAGGAGGATGGATGTTGTCAGGTGTTGAGGAGCAACCTTGCTTCCATGTCACGGATGGAAGGCCAGGCACTATGAAGCCGGCAGTATGTTGAAGGAGATGATCAGGTTGAAATGTTGAGGTTCCAGTTGTCCTAGATGTGGGCTGTTGTGAGTGAGTGAGTGAGTGTGTGTGTTTTCGCAGGGTGGGGAGTTTGAGGGCTCTTAGTTTTCCACCTCTTCTAGCTGTCCAAGGGGCTCAGGTGTAGGTAAAGGTATGTGTGAGGCTCAGATTGATGTAGGCTTGGCGTGGTGTCAGTCAAGTACGAAATGGAAATGACTTGTAGGACAAGGATGTTGGCAAGTGTCCGAACTGATGGATCGTGGAGTCTGGTGAATCGGGAGAGGAGTGAGCCAGTGAGGATGCTGAGAGGTCGGGGAACTAACCCTTAGGTCCGAGCCCCAAGCGAGCTGCAGTGTGAGTGACTAGGCGAGAAGGCAAGGGAAGGGTCAAAGAGTTGTATTCCCAGGAGGGAGGTCTGAATGGATGTCCTCGGACCCTGAGCATTTCCCGATGGTAGAGTCCAGGAACACGTATTGCCCAGCGGGGGTGTCTAAGGTTGGCCAGTACTCATTGAAGGAAGAATGAGGAAGCAGGAACAGAATGGGAGGAAGAAGAGAGGTGCTACTCTGTGGACAACTTCTCAAAGCTGCTGCTGCAGCAGGTGGGTAGCTAAGTCCCAGCTGGAGAAACCTCAGCTTCATTTGGCTGTAGAGAATTTGGCAGAGCAGGAGATCCAGTGGCCTCGGGGTATTCTTGTGGCCATGGCTAAGGATGCAGGTGCCAAGCTGGCTTATGCACCGCCCTGGATGTGGGAGATATCACAGTGTCCCTTGTGATCCAGAAATGTCCCAAGTACAAAATAAGACCCTCGATGTTCATGGTTTCCTTTTATTCCTTTTCTTTCTTTTTAAGCATGTCTACTTCCCAACCCATCGTCTGAGCCAGCGTCGGACAGCAAACCTCACCAAGACAAGCTGGAGGTAAGTCCTGACAGTGTAATTTTACCCGTGTGGTGTGTGCGTGGGACAGAACGGACATGCCCCTGTAATTTGTTTTCTCCAGAAATCTGTTTCTTTTCTGAGTCGACACCTCTCAGGGAGTACACCAGTGTAGCAGGGGATTTGGTTTCCCCCTTTGGATTTACACAGGAATATTTGGACGTAATGTTTTGAGAGTCTACCTTGCTGAGTTTTTCAGTTTGGTCCTCCGCCACATCTGGTGTCAGCTGCCCACTTGTTCTTTCCCTTCTCGGGCTAAGCGTGCTAGGTACTCTGCATTGGGGATCTCCTGGCCAGTGGCTGTGCGTTCTCTTTAGCCAGAATATTGCTGTGTTGTCCAAACCTGCTTTCTGTTCTTTGACCACACAGTTGCGATCGCTCAAACCCATCTGATGTTTCTCTGGACCACTTAGTCTGTATATTATGGGTTTCTTATGATTATGTCCCTAAATATTTGTGTCTAAATGTTGCATTTTTTGATTGTTAGTGATACCAGATTTATGTTATTTTGTTACAGACCTGCAGCTTCACTGTGCCAGCAGTTCCCTGCGAGGAGAAAAAAGAATTGTGTGATTTCCAGGGGACAACAGCTACGGCTCATCCAGCCAAAAGCCCAACTGTTCCACCGAATCCGTACCGGAGGGTAGGGCCTCCTCACGCTCGCCCCCCTGCAGGAGCTCCGCCAGCCAGCCCTGCTCACAAATTTTTGCCCACGGGGGTTCCTGCCATATGGCCACCACCACCGCCTGCTGGAGGTATGTGATTTGGTTTGTCAGGGAATTTTGTTTTTCTCTTCCTTGCACACTACAAAGACGAAACACTAGTTTGTTCATGAAATAGATGCTCACTTGACCGTGGCTCATCTACTCATGAGAGAGAAAGCAAAAGCCCAAACTGACTCTAATGCCATGTGAGTGAAGCATGACTTTTCAGATTGGGAAGGGAGCCAGCCAACCATAGACAGCCTTCATGTGAATGGAAGCCCACTCGCTTCCTTTTGCCCTCTTACAGTAACACGGGCATTATTTCACACTATATCAGTTGATAGAGAGCGGTTATGCTGGCTGCTACTGAAGATGATCCTAATTCCCATAGTCCACAAAAGGACTAGGTGAAATGGTCTTTCGTGAGTAGCTCCTGTGCGTTCCTAGTCTATTTACAACCTACTGATTGTAAGGCTGCTTTGATCATGTTTGGCCTCATAACTGCTGAATCTTTTGGCTTTGGTGGGTAACTTGGGATAAGAAACAAACAGACAGACAGCTGTGGGGTGGGTGGCGCTGGGGGAAATGGATTGCTTGACTCTTCTCCCCCACCATTCACAAAGACACAGGTGACTGCAGAATGAGTGGTCGTGTAAGAAATGCTGGGCAGAGCCCATGAACTGTCTTGTCTGATATCAAGACAAGTGCTTTGGAAATGGAAGGCCAAGGAAAATGAGTTTTGTCGGAGGGGGGCATGCGGGGAGGATATTTTCAGATACACGTTTGGATGCAGCCAAGTGTTTGCCCACCTTTCAGCCAGTCCTGCTTGCATCTGGCTAAGATGTCCCGAGCCAAACTACTGTTTTCCCATCACTCATTTCCTTCCACAGCCTCGTGGCGCTGTCTGAAGTTGGGCAATGTAGGTATGTGGGTTTCCGTGGTGAGTGGACAACAGGAAGAACTTGTGAAAGTCAACACAAAGTTTGAGAAGAGATTCGCTCAGGAAAGGCTGTGTATTGGCGTGGGAAGCATAAGGTTATCAGGTGGCAATATTGGGTTTCTATGGTGTTGTTGTCGGGTTGTACGATTTAACGGACAAGCATTATGACAGTGAGCGTGAGGGTCAGAGGTGATCTTGGACGCTTGGATCTGTGTGCACATGGCTGCGATGGCATGGCTTAAGAGGTGATGGCATCTCAGTGGGCACGTTGACACCCTGTATCGTTGGACACGCCATGGAATCTTTGCTCAGGAAGCCGGGGTTTTGGTAAGGTTTATTTTTCTGTACCTGAAAGGCAGGGCTACAGGCAGGAGGCACCAGGGGTGTGTGGGCTGCATGTTGGGTCTCTGGATTCTTGTGTTTGTTTGTTTTCTGGAGAGTAGTTGATGTTTAGGGGAGAGGTAGCAGAGTCACACAGAGCAAAACGTGACAAGAGAGCTTGCGTCCTCTGCCCGACTCCACAAAAGCCACAGCCCAAATCCGGGTCGTTCTGATGCTGGGAGCCAGGAGTATAGTGGGAGTTTGCCGTGTGTCTGCAGGGTGCGATGGCCTTGGACCCGCCTCTGCTGGTTTTCCTGGCTTGGAGCCAGCGAGCGGGATTAGAAAACAGAGCAGCAGCCAGTGCTCCCCATGGTGGCCATTAGTATGTTGGTGAAGACTGCACTTAATGGATATGAAGCATCTGATACCTTGTGCATTCCAAATGTGCCAGCTCACAGTCTTCACCATTCAGTGACCACATAGCGAGTGTAGGTGCGTTTCAGGAGGATGGATGTTGTCAGGTGTTGAGGAGCAACCTTGCTTCCATGTCACGGATGGAAGGCCAGGCACTATGAAGCCGGCAGTATGTTGAAGGAGATGATCAGGTTGAAATGTTGAGGTTCCAGTTGTCCTAGATGTGGGCTGTTGTGAGTGAGTGAGTGAGTGTGTGTGTTTTCGCAGGGTGGGGAGTTTGAGGGCTCTTAGTTTTCCACCTCTTCTAGCTGTCCAAGGGGCTCAGGTGTAGGTAAAGGTATGTGTGAGGCTCAGATTGATGTAGGCTTGGCGTGGTGTCAGTCAAGTACGAAATGGAAATGACTTGTAGGACAAGGATGTTGGCAAGTGTCCGAAGTGATGGATCGTGGAGTCTGGTGAATCGGGAGAGGAGTGAGCCAGTGAGGATGCTGAGAGGTCGGGGAACTAACCCTTAGGTCCGAGCCCCAAGCGAGCTGCAGTGTGAGTGACTAGGCGAGAAGGCAAGGGAAGGGTCAAAGAGTTGTATTCCCAGGAGGGAGGTCTGAATGGATGTCCTCGGACCCTGAGCATTTCCCGATGGTAGAGTCCAGGAACACGTATTGCCCAGCGGGGGTGTCTAAGGTTGGCCAGTACTCATTGAAGGAAGAATGAGGAAGCAGGAACAGAATGGGAGGAAGAAGAGAGGTGCTACTCTGTGGACAACTTCTCAAAGCTGCTGCTGCAGCAGGTGGGTAGCTAAGTCCCAGCTGGAGAAACCTCAGCTTCATTTGGCTGTAGAGAATTTGGCAGAGCAGGAGATCCAGTGGCCTCGGGGTATTCTTGTGGCCATGGCTAAGGATGCAGGTGCCAAGCTGGCTTATGCACCGCCCTGGATGTGGGAGATATCACAGTGTCCCTTGTGATCCAGAAATGTCCCAAGTACAAAATAAGACCCTCGATGTTCATGGTTTCCTTTTATTCCTTTTCTTTCTTTTTAAGCATGTCTACTTCCCAACCCATCGTCTGAGCCAGCGTCGGACAGCAAACCTCACCAAGACAAGCTGGAGGTAAGTCCTGACAGTGTAATTTTACCCGTGTGGTGTGTGCGTGGGACAGAACGGACATGCCCCTGTAATTTGTTTTCTCCAGAAATCTGTTTCTTTTCTGAGTCGACACCTCTCAGGGAGTACACCAGTGTAGCAGGGGATTTGGTTTCCCCCTTTGGATTTACACAGGAATATTTGGACGTAATGTTTTGAGAGTCTACCTTGCTGAGTTTTTCAGTTTGGTCCTCCGCCACATCTGGTGTCAGCTGCCCACTTGTTCTTTCCCTTCTCGGGCTAAGCGTGCTAGGTACTCTGCATTGGGGATCTCCTGGCCAGTGGCTGTGCGTTCTCTTTAGCCAGAATATTGCTGTGTTGTCCAAACCTGCTTTCTGTTCTTTGACCACACAGTTGCGATCGCTCAAACCCATCTGATGTTTCTCTGGACCACTTAGTCTGTATATTATGGGTTTCTTATGATTATGTCCCTAAATATTTGTGTCTAAATGTTGCATTTTTTGATTGTTAGTGATACCAGATTTATGTTATTTTGTTACAGACCTGCAGCTTCACTGTGCCAGCAGTTCCCTGCGAGGAGAAAAAAGAATTGTGTGATTTCCAGGGGACAACAGCCACGGCTCATCCAGCCAAAAGCCCAACTGTTCCACCGAATCCGTACCGGAGGGTAGGGCCTCCTCACGCTCGCCCCCCTGCAGGAGCTCCGCCAGCCAGCCCTGCTCAGAAATTTTTGCCCACGGGGGTTCCTGCCATATGGCCACCACCACCGCCTGCTGGAGGTATGTGATTTGGTTTGTCAGGGAATTTTGTTTTTCTCTTCCTTGCACACTACAAAGACGAAACACTAGTTTGTTCATGAAATAGATGCTCACTTGACCGTGGCTCATCTACTCATGAGAGAGAAAGCAAAAGCCCAAACTGACTCTAATGCCATGTGAGTGAAGCATGACTTTTCAGATTGGGAAGGGAGCCAGCCAACCATAGACAGCCTTCATGTGAATGGAAGCCCACTCGCTTCCTTTTGCCCTCTTACAGTAACACGGGCATTATTTCACACTATATCAGTTGATAGAGAGCGGTTATGCTGGCTGCTACTGAAGATGATCCTAATTCCCATAGTCCACAAAAGGACTAGGTGAAATGGTCTTTCGTGAGTAGCTCCTGTGCGTTCCTAGTCTATTTACAACCTACTGATTGTAAGGCTGCTTTGATCATGTTTGGCCTCATAACTGCTGAATCTTTTGGCTTTGGTGGGTAACTTGGGATAAGAAACAAACAGACAGACAGCTGTGGGGTGGGTGGCGCTGGGGGAAATGGATTGCTTGACTCTTCTCCCCCACCATTCACAAAGACACAGGTGACTGCAGAATGAGTGGTCGTGTAAGAAATGCTGGGCAGAGCCCATGAACTGTCTTGTCTGATATCAAGACAAGTGCTTTGGAAATGGAAGGCCAAGGAAAATGAGTTTTGTCGGAGGGGGGCATGCGGGGAGGATATTTTCAGATACACGTTTGGATGCAGCCAAGTGTTTGCCCACCTTTCAGCCAGTCCTGCTTGCATCTGGCTAAGATGTCCCGAGCCAAACTACTGTTTTCCCATCACTCATTTCCTTCCACAGCCTCGTGGCGCTGTCTGAAGTTGGGCAATGTAGGTATGTGGGTTTCCGTGGTGAGTGGACAACAGGAAGAACTTGTGAAAGTCAACACAAAGTTTGAGAAGAGATTCGCTCAGGAAAGGCTGTGTATTGGCGTGGGAAGCATAAGGTTATCAGGTGGCAATATTGGGTTTCTATGGTGTTGTTGTCGGGTTGTACGATTTAACGGACAAGCATTATGACAGTGAGCGTGAGGGTCAGAGGTGATCTTGGACGCTTGGATCTGTGTGCACATGGCTGCGATGGCATGGCTTAAGAGGTGATGGCATCTCAGTGGGCACGTTGACACCCTGTATCGTTGGACACGCCATGGAATCTTTGCTCAGGAAGCCGGGGTTTTGGTAAGGTTTATTTTTCTGTACCTGAAAGGCAGGGCTACAGGCAGGAGGCACCAGGGGTGTGTGGGCTGCATGTTGGGTCTCTGGATTCTTGTGTTTGTTTGTTTTCTGGAGAGTAGTTGATGTTTAGGGGAGAGGTAGCAGAGTCACACAGAGCAAAACGTGACAAGAGAGCTTGCGTCCTCTGCCCGACTCCACAAAAGCCACAGCCCAAATCCGGGTCGTTCTGATGCTGGGAGCCAGGAGTATAGTGGGAGTTTGCCGTGTGTCTGCAGGGTGCGATGGCCTTGGACCCGCCTCTGCTGGTTTTCCTGGCTTGGAGCCAGCGAGCGGGATTAGAAAACAGAGCAGCAGCCAGTGCTCCCCATGGTGGCCATTAGTATGTTGGTGAAGACTGCACTTAATGGATATGAAGCATCTGATACCTTGTGCATTCCAAATGTGCCAGCTCACAGTCTTCACCATTCAGTGACCACATAGCGAGTGTAGGTGCGTTTCAGGAGGATGGATGTTGTCAGGTGTTGAGGAGCAACCTTGCTTCCATGTCACGGATGGAAGGCCAGGCACTATGAAGCCGGCAGTATGTTGAAGGAGATGATCAGGTTGAAATGTTGAGGTTCCAGTTGTCCTAGATGTGGGCTGTTGTGAGTGAGTGAGTGAGTGTGTGTGTTTTCGCAGGGTGGGGAGTTTGAGGGCTCTTAGTTTTCCACCTCTTCTAGCTGTCCAAGGGGCTCAGGTGTAGGTAAAGGTATGTGTGAGGCTCAGATTGATGTAGGCTTGGCGTGGTGTCAGTCAAGTACGAAATGGAAATGACTTGTAGGACAAGGATGTTGGCAAGTGTCCGAACTGATGGATCGTGGAGTCTGGTGAATCGGGAGAGGAGTGAGCCAGTGAGGATGCTGAGAGGTCGGGGAACTAACCCTTAGGTCCGAGCCCCAAGCGAGCTGCAGTGTGAGTGACTAGGCGAGAAGGCAAGGGAAGGGTCAAAGAGTTGTATTCCCAGGAGGGAGGTCTGAATGGATGTCCTCGGACCCTGAGCATTTCCCGATGGTAGAGTCCAGGAACACGTATTGCCCAGCGGGGGTGTCTAAGGTTGGCCAGTACTCATTGAAGGAAGAATGAGGAAGCAGGAACAGAATGGGAGGAAGAAGAGAGGTGCTACTCTGTGGACAACTTCTCAAAGCTGCTGCTGCAGCAGGTGGGTAGCTAAGTCCCAGCTGGAGAAACCTCAGCTTCATTTGGCTGTAGAGAATTTGGCAGAGCAGGAGATCCAGTGGCCTCGGGGTATTCTTGTGGCCATGGCTAAGGATGCAGGTGCCAAGCTGGCTTATGCACCGCCCTGGATGTGGGAGATATCACAGTGTCCCTTGTGATCCAGAAATGTCCCAAGTACAAAATAAGACCCTCGATGTTCATGGTTTCCTTTTATTCCTTTTCTTTCTTTTTAAGCATGTCTACTTCCCAACCCATCGTCTGAGCCAGCGTCGGACAGCAAACCTCACCAAGACAAGCTGGAGGTAAGTCCTGACAGTGTAATTTTACCCGTGTGGTGTGTGCGTGGGACAGAACGGACATGCCCCTGTAATTTGTTTTCTCCAGAAATCTGTTTCTTTTCTGAGTCGACACCTCTCAGGGAGTACACCAGTGTAGCAGGGGATTTGGTTTCCCCCTTTGGATTTACACAGGAATATTTGGACGTAATGTTTTGAGAGTCTACCTTGCTGAGTTTTTCAGTTTGGTCCTCCGCCACATCTGGAGTCAGCTGCCCACTTGTTCTTTCCCTTCTCGGGCTAAGCGTGCTAGGTACTCTGCATTGGGGATCTCCTGGCCAGTGGCTGTGCGTTCTCTTTAGCCAGAATATTGCTGTGTTGTCCAAACCTGCTTTCTGTTCTTTGACCACACAGTTGCGATCGCTCAAACCCATCTGATGTTTCTCTGGACCACTTAGTCTGTATATTATGGGTTTCTTATGATTATGTCCCTAAATATTTGTGTCTAAATGTTGCATTTTTTGATTGTTAGTGATACCAGATTTATGTTATTTTGTTACAGACCTGCAGCTTCACTGTGCCAGCAGTTCCCTGCGAGGAGAAAAAAGAATTGTGTGATTTCCAGGGGACAACAGCTACGGCTCATCCAGCCAAAAGCCCAACTGTTCCACCGAATCCGTACCGGAGGGTAGGGCCTCCTCACGCTCGCCCCCCTGCAGGAGCTCCGCCAGCCAGCCCTGCTCACAAATTTTTGCCCACGGGGGTTCCTGCCATATGGCCACCACCACCGCCTGCTGGAGGTATGTGATTTGGTTTGTCAGGGAATTTTGTTTTTCTCTTCCTTGCACACTACAAAGACGAAACACTAGTTTGTTCATGAAATAGATGCTCACTTGACCGTGGCTCATCTACTCATGAGAGAGAAAGCAAAAGCCCAAACTGACTCTAATGCCATGTGAGTGAAGCATGACTTTTCAGATTGGGAAGGGAGCCAGCCAACCATAGACAGCCTTCATGTGAATGGAAGCCCACTCGCTTCCTTTTGCCCTCTTACAGTAACACGGGCATTATTTCACACTATATCAGTTGATAGAAAGCGGTTATGCTGGCTGCTACTGAAGATGATCCTAATTCCCATAGTCCACAAAAGGACTAGGTGAAATGGTCTTTCGTGAGTAGCTCCTGTGCGTTCCTAGTCTATTTACAACCTACTGATTGTAAGGCTGCTTTGATCATGTTTGGCCTCATAACTGCTGAATCTTTTGGCTTTGGTGGGTAACTTGGGATAAGAAACAAACAGACAGACAGCTGTGGGGTGGGTGGCGCTGGGGGAAATGGATTGCTTGACTCTTCTCCCCCACCATTCACAAAGACACAGGTGACTGCAGAATGAGTGGTCGTGTAAGAAATGCTGGGCAGAGCCCATGAACTGTCTTGTCTGATATCAAGACAAGTGCTTTGGAAATGGAAGGCCAAGGAAAATGAGTTTTGTCGGAGGGGGGCATGCGGGGAGGATATTTTCAGATACACGTTTGGATGCAGCCAAGTGTTTGCCCACCTTTCAGCCAGTCCTGCTTGCATCTGGCTAAGATGTCCCGAGCCAAACTACTGTTTTCCCATCACTCATTTCCTTCCACAGCCTCGTGGCGCTGTCTGAAGTTGGGCAATGTAGGTATGTGGGTTTCCGTGGTGAGTGGACAACAGGAAGAACTTGTGAAAGTCAACACAAAGTTTGAGAAGAGATTCGCTCAGGAAAGGCTGTGTATTGGCGTGGGAAGCATAAGGTTATCAGGTGGCAATATTGGGTTTCTATGGTGTTGTTGTCGGGTTGTACGATTTAACGGACAAGCATTATGACAGTGAGCGTGAGGGTCAGAGGTGATCTTGGACGCTTGGATCTGTGTGCACATGGCTGCGATGGCATGGCTTAAGAGGTGATGGCATCTCAGTGGGCACGTTGACACCCTGTATCGTTGGACACGCCATGGAATCTTTGCTCAGGAAGCCGGGGTTTTGGTAAGGTTTATTTTTCTGTACCTGAAAGGCAGGGCTACAGGCAGGAGGCACCAGGGGTGTGTGGGCTGCATGTTGGGTCTCTGGATTCTTGTGTTTGTTTGTTTTCTGGAGAGTAGTTGATGTTTAGGGGAGAGGTAGCAGAGTCACACAGAGCAAAACGTGACAAGAGAGCTTGCGTCCTCTGCCCGACTCCACAAAAGCCACAGCCCAAATCCGGGTCGTTCTGATGCTGGGAGCCAGGAGTATAGTGGGAGTTTGCCGTGTGTCTGCAGGGTGCGATGGCCTTGGACCCGCCTCTGCTGGTTTTCCTGGCTTGGAGCCAGCGAGCGGGATTAGAAAACAGAGCAGCAGCCAGTGCTCCCCATGGTGGCCATTAGTATGTTGGTGAAGACTGCACTTAATGGATATGAAGCATCTGATACCTTGTGCATTCCAAATGTGCCAGCTCACAGTCTTCACCATTCAGTGACCACATAGCGAGTGTAGGTGCGTTTCAGGAGGATGGATGTTGTCAGGTGTTGAGGAGCAACCTTGCTTCCATGTCACGGATGGAAGGCCAGGCACTATGAAGCCGGCAGTATGTTGAAGGAGATGATCAGGTTGAAATGTTGAGGTTCCAGTTGTCCTAGATGTGGGCTGTTGTGAGTGAGTGAGTGAGTGTGTGTGTTTTCGCAGGGTGGGGAGTTTGAGGGCTCTTAGTTTTCCACCTCTTCTAGCTGTCCAAGGGGCTCAGGTGTAGGTAAAGGTATGTGTGAGGCTCAGATTGATGTAGGCTTGGCGTGGTGTCAGTCAAGTACGAAATGGAAATGACTTGTAGGACAAGGATGTTGGCAAGTGTCCGAACTGATGGATCGTGGAGTCTGGTGAATCGGGAGAGGAGTGAGCCAGTGAGGATGCTGAGAGGTCGGGGAACTAACCCTTAGGTCCGAGCCCCAAGCGAGCTGCAGTGTGAGTGACTAGGCGAGAAGGCAAGGGAAGGGTCAAAGAGTTGTATTCCCAGGAGGGAGGTCTGAATGGATGTCCTCGGACCCTGAGCATTTCCCGATGGTAGAGTCCAGGAACACGTATTGCCCAGCGGGGGTGTCTAAGGTTGGCCAGTACTCATTGAAGGAAGAATGAGGAAGCAGGAACAGAATGGGAGGAAGAAGAGAGGTGCTACTCTGTGGACAACTTCTCAAAGCTGCTGCTGCAGCAGGTGGGTAGCTAAGTCCCAGCTGGAGAAACCTCAGCTTCATTTGGCTGTAGAGAATTTGGCAGAGCAGGAGATCCAGTGGCCTCGGGGTATTCTTGTGGCCATGGCTAAGGATGCAGGTGCCAAGCTGGCTTATGCACCGCCCTGGATGTGGGAGATATCACAGTGTCCCTTGTGATCCAGAAATGTCCCAAGTACAAAATAAGACCCTCGATGTTCATGGTTTCCTTTTATTCCTTTTCTTTCTTTTTAAGCATGTCTACTTCCCAACCCATCGTCTGAGCCAGCGTCGGACAGCAAACCTCACCAAGACAAGCTGGAGGTAAGTCCTGACAGTGTAATTTTACCCGTGTGGTGTGTGCGTGGGACAGAACGGACATGCCCCTGTAATTTGTTTTCTCCAGAAATCTGTTTCTTTTCTGAGTCGACACCTCTCAGGGAGTACACCAGTGTAGCAGGGGATTTGGTTTCCCCCTTTGGATTTACACAGGAATATTTGGACGTAATGTTTTGAGAGTCTACCTTGCTGAGTTTTTCAGTTTGGTCCTCCGCCACATCTGGAGTCAGCTGCCCACTTGTTCTTTCCCTTCTCGGGCTAAGCGTGCTAGGTACTCTGCATTGGGGATCTCCTGGCCAGTGGCTGTGCGTTCTCTTTAGCCAGAATATTGCTGTGTTGTCCAAACCTGCTTTCTGTTCTTTGACCACACAGTTGCGATCGCTCAAACCCATCTGATGTTTCTCTGGACCACTTAGTCTGTATATTATGGGTTTCTTATGATTATGTCCCTAAATATTTGTGTCTAAATGTTGCATTTTTTGATTGTTAGTGATACCAGATTTATGTTATTTTGTTACAGACCTGCAGCTTCACTGTGCCAGCAGTTCCCTGCGAGGAGAAAAAAGAATTGTGTGATTTCCAGGGGACAACAGCTACGGCTCATCCAGCCAAAAGCCCAACTGTTCCACCGAATCCGTACCGGAGGGTAGGGCCTCCTCACGCTCGCCCCCCTGCAGGAGCTCCGCCAGCCAGCCCTGCTCACAAATTTTTGCCCACGGGGGTTCCTGCCATATGGCCACCACCACCGCCTGCTGGAGGTATGTGATTTGGTTTGTCAGGGAATTTTGTTTTTCTCTTCCTTGCACACTACAAAGACGAAACACTAGTTTGTTCATGAAATAGATGCTCACTTGACCGTGGCTCATCTACTCATGAGAGAGAAAGCAAAAGCCCAAACTGACTCTAATGCCATGTGAGTGAAGCATGACTTTTCAGATTGGGAAGGGAGCCAGCCAACCATAGACAGCCTTCATGTGAATGGAAGCCCACTCGCTTCCTTTTGCCCTCTTACAGTAACACGGGCATTATTTCACACTATATCAGTTGATAGAGAGCGGTTATGCTGGCTGCTACTGAAGATGATCCTAATTCCCATAGTCCACAAAAGGACTAGGTGAAATGGTCTTTCGTGAGTAGCTCCTGTGCGTTCCTAGTCTATTTACAACCTACTGATTGTAAGGCTGCTTTGATCATGTTTGGCCTCATAACTGCTGAATCTTTTGGCTTTGGTGGGTAACTTGGGATAAGAAACAAACAGACAGACAGCTGTGGGGTGGGTGGCGCTGGGGGAAATGGATTGCTTGACTCTTCTCCCCCACCATTCACAAAGACACAGGTGACTGCAGAATGAGTGGTCGTGTAAGAAATGCTGGGCAGAGCCCATGAACTGTCTTGTCTGATATCAAGACAAGTGCTTTGGAAATGGAAGGCCAAGGAAAATGAGTTTTGTCGGAGGGGGGCATGCGGGGAGGATATTTTCAGATACACGTTTGGATGCAGCCAAGTGTTTGCCCACCTTTCAGCCAGTCCTGCTTGCATCTGGCTAAGATGTCCCGAGCCAAACTACTGTTTTCCCATCACTCATTTCCTTCCACAGCCTCGTGGCGCTGTCTGAAGTTGGGCAATGTAGGTATGTGGGTTTCCGTGGTGAGTGGACAACAGGAAGAACTTGTGAAAGTCAACACAAAGTTTGAGAAGAGATTCGCTCAGGAAAGGCTGTGTATTGGCGTGGGAAGCATAAGGTTATCAGGTGGCAATATTGGGTTTCTATGGTGTTGTTGTCGGGTTGTACGATTTAACGGACAAGCATTATGACAGTGAGCGTGAGGGTCAGAGGTGATCTTGGACGCTTGGATCTGTGTGCACATGGCTGCGATGGCATGGCTTAAGAGGTGATGGCATCTCAGTGGGCACGTTGACACCCTGTATCGTTGGACACGCCATGGAATCTTTGCTCAGGAAGCCGGGGTTTTGGTAAGGTTTATTTTTCTGTACCTGAAAGGCAGGGCTACAGGCAGGAGGCACCAGGGGTGTGTGGGCTGCATGTTGGGTCTCTGGATTCTTGTGTTTGTTTGTTTTCTGGAGAGTAGTTGATGTTTAGGGGAGAGGTAGCAGAGTCACACAGAGCAAAACGTGACAAGAGAGCTTGCGTCCTCTGCCCGACTCCACAAAAGCCACAGCCCAAATCCGGGTCGTTCTGATGCTGGGAGCCAGGAGTATAGTGGGAGTTTGCCGTGTGTCTGCAGGGTGCGATGGCCTTGGACCCGCCTCTGCTGGTTTTCCTGGCTTGGAGCCAGCGAGCGGGATTAGAAAACAGAGCAGCAGCCAGTGCTCCCCATGGTGGCCATTAGTATGTTGGTGAAGACTGCACTTAATGGATATGAAGCATCTGATACCTTGTGCATTCCAAATGTGCCAGCTCACAGTCTTCACCATTCAGTGACCACATAGCGAGTGTAGGTGCGTTTCAGGAGGATGGATGTTGTCAGGTGTTGAGGAGCAACCTTGCTTCCATGTCACGGATGGAAGGCCAGGCACTATGAAGCCGGCAGTATGTTGAAGGAGATGATCAGGTTGAAATGTTGAGGTTCCAGTTGTCCTAGATGTGGGCTGTTGTGAGTGAGTGAGTGAGTGTGTGTGTTTTCGCAGGGTGGGGAGTTTGAGGGCTCTTAGTTTTCCACCTCTTCTAGCTGTCCAAGGGGCTCAGGTGTAGGTAAAGGTATGTGTGAGGCTCAGATTGATGTAGGCTTGGCGTGGTGTCAGTCAAGTACGAAATGGAAATGACTTGTAGGACAAGGATGTTGGCAAGTGTCCGAACTGATGGATCGTGGAGTCTGGTGAATCGGGAGAGGAGTGAGCCAGTGAGGATGCTGAGAGGTCGGGGAACTAACCCTTAGGTCCGAGCCCCAAGCGAGCTGCAGTGTGAGTGACTAGGCGAGAAGGCAAGGGAAGGGTCAAAGAGTTGTATTCCCAGGAGGGAGGTCTGAATGGATGTCCTCGGACCCTGAGCATTTCCCGATGGTAGAGTCCAGGAACACGTATTGCCCAGCGGGGGTGTCTAAGGTTGGCCAGTACTCATTGAAGGAAGAATGAGGAAGCAGGAACAGAATGGGAGGAAGAAGAGAGGTGCTACTCTGTGGACAACTTCTCAAAGCTGCTGCTGCAGCAGGTGGGTAGCTAAGTCCCAGCTGGAGAAACCTCAGCTTCATTTGGCTGTAGAGAATTTGGCAGAGCAGGAGATCCAGTGGCCTCGGGGTATTCTTGTGGCCATGGCTAAGGATGCAGGTGCCAAGCTGGCTTATGCACCGCCCTGGATGTGGGAGATATCACAGTGTCCCTTGTGATCCAGAAATGTCCCAAGTACAAAATAAGACCCTCGATGTTCATGGTTTCCTTTTATTCCTTTTCTTTCTTTTTAAGCATGTCTACTTCCCAACCCATCGTCTGAGCCAGCGTCGGACAGCAAACCTCACCAAGACAAGCTGGAGGTAAGTCCTGACAGTGTAATTTTACCCGTGTGGTGTGTGCGTGGGACAGAACGGACATGCCCCTGTAATTTGTTTTCTCCAGAAATCTGTTTCTTTTCTGAGTCGACACCTCTCAGGGAGTACACCAGTGTAGCAGGGGATTTGGTTTCCCCCTTTGGATTTACACAGGAATATTTGGACGTAATGTTTTGAGAGTCTACCTTGCTGAGTTTTTCAGTTTGGTCCTCCGCCACATCTGGTGTCAGCTGCCCACTTGTTCTTTCCCTTCTCGGGCTAAGCGTGCTAGGTACTCTGCATTGGGGATCTCCTGGCCAGTGGCTGTGCGTTCTCTTTAGCCAGAATATTGCTGTGTTGTCCAAACCTGCTTTCTGTTCTTTGACCACACAGTTGCGATCGCTCAAACCCATCTGATGTTTCTCTGGACCACTTAGTCTGTATATTATGGGTTTCTTATGATTATGTCCCTAAATATTTGTGTCTAAATGTTGCATTTTTTGATTGTTAGTGATACCAGATTTATGTGATTTTGTTACAGACCTGCAGCTTCACTGTGCCAGCAGTTCCCTGCGAGGAGAAAAAAGAATTGTGTGATTTCCAGGGGACAACAGCCACGGCTCATCCAGCCAAAAGCCCAACTGTTCCACCGAATCCGTACCGGAGGGTAGGGCCTCCTCACGCTCGCCCCCCTGCAGGAGCTCCGCCAGCCAGCCCTGCTCACAAATTTTTGCCCACGGGGGTTCCTGCCATATGGCCACCACCACCGCCTGCTGGAGGTATGTGATTTGGTTTGTCAGGGAATTTTGTTTTTCTCTTCCTTGCACACTACAAAGACGAAACACTAGTTTGTTCATGAAATAGATGCTCACTTGACCGTGGCTCATCTACTCATGAGAGAGAAAGCAAAAGCCCAAACTGACTCTAATGCCATGTGAGTGAAGCATGACTTTTCAGATTGGGAAGGGAGCCAGCCAACCATAGACAGCCTTCATGTGAATGGAAGCCCACTCGCTTCCTTTTGCCCTCTTACAGTAACACGGGCATTATTTCACACTATATCAGTTGATAGAGAGCGGTTATGCTGGCTGCTACTGAAGATGATCCTAATTCCCATAGTCCACAAAAGGACTAGGTGAAATGGTCTTTCGTGAGTAGCTCCTGTGCGTTCCTAGTCTATTTACAACCTACTGATTGTAAGGCTGCTTTGATCATGTTTGGCCTCATAACTGCTGAATCTTTTGGCTTTGGTGGGTAACTTGGGATAAGAAACAAACAGACAGACAGCTGTGGGGTGGGTGGCGCTGGGGGAAATGGATTGCTTGACTCTTCTCCCCCACCATTCACAAAGACACAGGTGACTGCAGAATGAGTGGTCGTGTAAGAAATGCTGGGCAGAGCCCATGAACTGTCTTGTCTGATATCAAGACAAGTGCTTTGGAAATGGAAGGCCAAGGAAAATGAGTTTTGTCGGAGGGGGGCATGCGGGGAGGATATTTTCAGATACACGTTTGGATGCAGCCAAGTGTTTGCCCACCTTTCAGCCAGTCCTGCTTGCATCTGGCTAAGATGTCCCGAGCCAAACTACTGTTTTCCCCATCACTCATTTCCTTCCACAGCCTCGTGGCGCTGTCTGAAGTTGGGCAATGTAGGTATGTGGGTTTCCGTGGTGAGTGGACAACAGGAAGAACTTGTGAAAGTCAACACAAAGTTTGAGAAGAGATTCGCTCAGGAAAGGCTGTGTATTGGCGTGGGAAGCATAAGGTTATCAGGTGGCAATATTGGGTTTCTATGGTGTTGTTGTCGGGTTGTACGATTTAACGGACAAGCATTATGACAGTGAGCGTGAGGGTCAGAGGTGATCTTGGACGCTTGGATCTGTGTGCACATGGCTGCGATGGCATGGCTTAAGAGGTGATGGCATCTCAGTGGGCACGTTGACACCCTGTATCGTTGGACACGCCATGGAATCTTTGCTCAGGAAGCCGGGGTTTTGGTAAGGTTTATTTTTCTGTACCTGAAAGGCAGGGCTACAGGCAGGAGGCACCAGGGGTGTGTGGGCTGCATGTTGGGTCTCTGGATTCTTGTGTTTGTTTGTTTTCTGGAGAGTAGTTGATGTTTAGGGGAGAGGTAGCAGAGTCACACAGAGCAAAACGTGACAAGAGAGCTTGCGTCCTCTGCCCGACTCCACAAAAGCCACAGCCCAAATCCGGGTCGTTCTGATGCTGGGAGCCAGGAGTATAGTGGGAGTTTGCCGTGTGTCTGCAGGGTGCGATGGCCTTGGACCCGCCTCTGCTGGTTTTCCTGGCTTGGAGCCAGCGAGCGGGATTAGAAAACAGAGCAGCAGCCAGTGCTCCCCATGGTGGCCATTAGTATGTTGGTGAAGACTGCACTTAATGGATATGAAGCATCTGATACCTTGTGCATTCCAAATGTGCCAGCTCACAGTCTTCACCATTCAGTGACCACATAGCGAGTGTAGGTGCGTTTCAGGAGGATGGATGTTGTCAGGTGTTGAGGAGCAACCTTGCTTCCATGTCACGGATGGAAGGCCAGGCACTATGAAGCCGGCAGTATGTTGAAGGAGATGATCAGGTTGAAATGTTGAGGTTCCAGTTGTCCTAGATGTGGGCTGTTGTGAGTGAGTGAGTGAGTGTGTGTGTTTTCGCAGGGTGGGGAGTTTGAGGGCTCTTAGTTTTCCACCTCTTCTAGCTGTCCAAGGGGCTCAGGTGTAGGTAAAGGTATGTGTGAGGCTCAGATTGATGTAGGCTTGGCGTGGTGTCAGTCAAGTACGAAATGGAAATGACTTGTAGGACAAGGATGTTGGCAAGTGTCCGAACTGATGGATCGTGGAGTCTGGTGAATCGGGAGAGGAGTGAGCCAGTGAGGATGCTGAGAGGTCGGGGAACTAACCCTTAGGTCCGAGCCCCAAGCGAGCTGCAGTGTGAGTGACTAGGCGAGAAGGCAAGGGAAGGGTCAAAGAGTTGTATTCCCAGGAGGGAGGTCTGAATGGATGTCCTCGGACCCTGAGCATTTCCCGATGGTAGAGTCCAGGAACACGTATTGCCCAGCGGGGGTGTCTAAGGTTGGCCAGTACTCATTGAAGGAAGAATGAGGAAGCAGGAACAGAATGGGAGGAAGAAGAGAGGTGCTACTCTGTGGACAACTTCTCAAAGCTGCTGCTGCAGCAGGTGGGTAGCTAAGTCCCAGCTGGAGAAACCTCAGCTTCATTTGGCTGTAGAGAATTTGGCAGAGCAGGAGATCCAGTGGCCTCGGGGTATTCTTGTGGCCATGGCTAAGGATGCAGGTGCCAAGCTGGCTTATGCACCGCCCTGGATGTGGGAGATATCACAGTGTCCCTTGTGATCCAGAAATGTCCCAAGTACAAAATAAGACCCTCGATGTTCATGGTTTCCTTTTATTCCTTTTCTTTCTTTTTAAGCATGTCTACTTCCCAACCCATCGTCTGAGCCAGCGTCGGACAGCAAACCTCACCAAGACAAGCTGGAGGTAAGTCCTGACAGTGTAATTTTACCCGTGTGGTGTGTGCGTGGGACAGAACGGACATGCCCCTGTAATTTGTTTTCTCCAGAAATCTGTTTCTTTTCTGAGTCGACACCTCTCAGGGAGTACACCAGTGTAGCAGGGGATTTGGTTTCCCCCTTTGGATTTACACAGGAATATTTGGACGTAATGTTTTGAGAGTCTACCTTGCTGAGTTTTTCAGTTTGGTCCTCCGCCACATCTGGAGTCAGCTGCCCACTTGTTCTTTCCCTTCTCGGGCTAAGCGTGCTAGGTACTCTGCATTGGGGATCTCCTGGCCAGTGGCTGTGCGTTCTCTTTAGCCAGAATATTGCTGTGTTGTCCAAACCTGCTTTCTGTTCTTTGACCACACAGTTGCGATCGCTCAAACCCATCTGATGTTTCTCTGGACCACTTAGTCTGTATATTATGGGTTTCTTATGATTATGTCCCTAAATATTTGTGTCTAAATGTTGCATTTTTTGATTGTTAGTGATACCAGATTTATGTTATTTTGTTACAGACCTGCAGCTTCACTGTGCCAGCAGTTCCCTGCGAGGAGAAAAAAGAATTGTGTGATTTCCAGGGGACAACAGCTACGGCTCATCCAGCCAAAAGCCCAACTGTTCCACCGAATCCGTACCGGAGGGTAGGGCCTCCTCACGCTCGCCCCCCTGCAGGAGCTCCGCCAGCCAGCCCTGCTCAGAAATTTTTGCCCACGGGGGTTCCTGCCATATGGCCACCACCACCGCCTGCTGGAGGTATGTGATTTGGTTTGTCAGGGAATTTTGTTTTTCTCTTCCTTGCACACTACAAAGACGAAACACTAGTTTGTTCATGAAATAGATGCTCACTTGACCGTGGCTCATCTACTCATGAGAGAGAAAGCAAAAGCCCAAACTGACTCTAATGCCATGTGAGTGAAGCATGACTTTTCAGATTGGGAAGGGAGCCAGCCAACCATAGACAGCCTTCATGTGAATGGAAGCCCACTCGCTTCCTTTTGCCCTCTTACAGTAACACGGGCATTATTTCACACTATATCAGTTGATAGAGAGCGGTTATGCTGGCTGCTACTGAAGATGATCCTAATTCCCATAGTCCACAAAAGGACTAGGTGAAATGGTCTTTCGTGAGTAGCTCCTGTGCGTTCCTAGTCTATTTACAACCTACTGATTGTAAGGCTGCTTTGATCATGTTTGGCCTCATAACTGCTGAATCTTTTGGCTTTGGTGGGTAACTTGGGATAAGAAACAAACAGACAGACAGCTGTGGGGTGGGTGGCGCTGGGGGAAATGGATTGCTTGACTCTTCTCCCCCACCATTCACAAAGACACAGGTGACTGCAGAATGAGTGGTCGTGTAAGAAATGCTGGGCAGAGCCCATGAACTGTCTTGTCTGATATCAAGACAAGTGCTTTGGAAATGGAAGGCCAAGGAAAATGAGTTTTGTCGGAGGGGGGCATGCGGGGAGGATATTTTCAGATACACGTTTGGATGCAGCCAAGTGTTTGCCCACCTTTCAGCCAGTCCTGCTTGCATCTGGCTAAGATGTCCCGAGCCAAACTACTGTTTTCCCATCACTCATTTCCTTCCACAGCCTCGTGGCGCTGTCTGAAGTTGGGCAATGTAGGTATGTGGGTTTCCGTGGTGAGTGGACAACAGGAAGAACTTGTGAAAGTCAACACAAAGTTTGAGAAGAGATTCGCTCAGGAAAGGCTGTGTATTGGCGTGGGAAGCATAAGGTTATCAGGTGGCAATATTGGGTTTCTATGGTGTTGTTGTCGGGTTGTACGATTTAACGGACAAGCATTATGACAGTGAGCGTGAGGGTCAGAGGTGATCTTGGACGCTTGGATCTGTGTGCACATGGCTGCGATGGCATGGCTTAAGAGGTGATGGCATCTCAGTGGGCACGTTGACACCCTGTATCGTTGGACACGCCATGGAATCTTTGCTCAGGAAGCCGGGGTTTTGGTAAGGTTTATTTTTCTGTACCTGAAAGGCAGGGCTACAGGCAGGAGGCACCAGGGGTGTGTGGGCTGCATGTTGGGTCTCTGGATTCTTGTGTTTGTTTGTTTTCTGGAGAGTAGTTGATGTTTAGGGGAGAGGTAGCAGAGTCACACAGAGCAAAACGTGACAAGAGAGCTTGCGTCCTCTGCCCGACTCCACAAAAGCCACAGCCCAAATCCGGGTCGTTCTGATGCTGGGAGCCAGGAGTATAGTGGGAGTTTGCCGTGTGTCTGCAGGGTGCGATGGCCTTGGACCCGCCTCTGCTGGTTTTCCTGGCTTGGAGCCAGCGAGCGGGATTAGAAAACAGAGCAGCAGCCAGTGCTCCCCATGGTGGCCATTAGTATGTTGGTGAAGACTGCACTTAATGGATATGAAGCATCTGATACCTTGTGCATTCCAAATGTGCCAGCTCACAGTCTTCACCATTCAGTGACCACATAGCGAGTGTAGGTGCGTTTCAGGAGGATGGATGTTGTCAGGTGTTGAGGAGCAACCTTGCTTCCATGTCACGGATGGAAGGCCAGGCACTATGAAGCCGGCAGTATGTTGAAGGAGATGATCAGGTTGAAATGTTGAGGTTCCAGTTGTCCTAGATGTGGGCTGTTGTGAGTGAGTGAGTGAGTGTGTGTGTTTTCGCAGGGTGGGGAGTTTGAGGGCTCTTAGTTTTCCACCTCTTCTAGCTGTCCAAGGGGCTCAGGTGTAGGTAAAGGTATGTGTGAGGCTCAGATTGATGTAGGCTTGGCGTGGTGTCAGTCAAGTACGAAATGGAAATGACTTGTAGGACAAGGATGTTGGCAAGTGTCCGAACTGATGGATCGTGGAGTCTGGTGAATCGGGAGAGGAGTGAGCCAGTGAGGATGCTGAGAGGTCGGGGAACTAACCCTTAGGTCCGAGCCCCAAGCGAGCTGCAGTGTGAGTGACTAGGCGAGAAGGCAAGGGAAGGGTCAAAGAGTTGTATTCCCAGGAGGGAGGTCTGAATGGATGTCCTCGGACCCTGAGCATTTCCCGATGGTAGAGTCCAGGAACACGTATTGCCCAGCGGGGGTGTCTAAGGTTGGCCAGTACTCATTGAAGGAAGAATGAGGAAGCAGGAACAGAATGGGAGGAAGAAGAGAGGTGCTACTCTGTGGACAACTTCTCAAAGCTGCTGCTGCAGCAGGTGGGTAGCTAAGTCCCAGCTGGAGAAACCTCAGCTTCATTTGGCTGTAGAGAATTTGGCAGAGCAGGAGATCCAGTGGCCTCGGGGTATTCTTGTGGCCATGGCTAAGGATGCAGGTGCCAAGCTGGCTTATGCACCGCCCTGGATGTGGGAGATATCACAGTGTCCCTTGTGATCCAGAAATGTCCCAAGTACAAAATAAGACCCTCGATGTTCATGGTTTCCTTTTATTCCTTTTCTTTCTTTTTAAGCATGTCTACTTCCCAACCCATCGTCTGAGCCAGCGTCGGACAGCAAACCTAACCAAGACAAGCTGGAGGTAAGTCCTGACAGTGTAATTTTACCCGTGTGGTGTGTGCGTGGGACAGAACGGACATGCCCCTGTAATTTGTTTTCTCCAGAAATCTGTTTCTTTTCTGAGTCGACACCTCTCAGGGAGTACACCAGTGTAGCAGGGGATTTGGTTTCCCCCTTTGGATTTACACAGGAATATTTGGACGTAATGTTTTGAGAGTCTACCTTGCTGAGTTTTTCAGTTTGGTCCTCCGCCACATCTGGAGTCAGCTGCCCACTTGTTCTTTCCCTTCTCGGGCTAAGCGTGCTAGGTACTCTGCATTGGGGATCTCCTGGCCAGTGGCTGTGCGTTCTCTTTAGCCAGAATATTGCTGTGTTGTCCAAACCTGCTTTCTGTTCTTTGACCACACAGTTGCGATCGCTCAAACCCATCTGATGTTTCTCTGGACCACTTAGTCTGTATATTATGGGTTTCTTATGATTATGTCCCTAAATATTTGTGTCTAAATGTTGCATTTTTTGATTGTTAGTGATACCAGATTTATGTTATTTTGTTACAGACCTGCAGCTTCACTGTGCCAGCAGTTCCCTGCGAGGAGAAAAAAGAATTGTGTGATTTCCAGGGGACAACAGCTACGGCTCATCCAGCCAAAAGCCCAACTGTTCCACCGAATCCGTACCGGAGGGTAGGGCCTCCTCACGCTCGCCCCCCTGCAGGAGCTCCGCCAGCCAGCCCTGCTCACAAATTTTTGCCCACGGGGGTTCCTGCCATATGGCCACCACCACCGCCTGCTGGAGGTATGTGATTTGGTTTGTCAGGGAATTTTGTTTTTCTCTTCCTTGCACACTACAAAGACGAAACACTAGTTTGTTCATGAAATAGATGCTCACTTGACCGTGGCTCATCTACTCATGAGAGAGAAAGCAAAAGCCCAAACTGACTCTAATGCCATGTGAGTGAAGCATGACTTTTCAGATTGGGAAGGGAGCCAGCCAACCATAGACAGCCTTCATGTGAATGGAAGCCCACTCGCTTCCTTTTGCCCTCTTACAGTAACACGGGCATTATTTCACACTATATCAGTTGATAGAGAGCGGTTATGCTGGCTGCTACTGAAGATGATCCTAATTCCCATAGTCCACAAAAGGACTAGGTGAAATGGTCTTTCGTGAGTAGCTCCTGTGCGTTCCTAGTCTATTTACAACCTACTGATTGTAAGGCTGCTTTGATCATGTTTGGCCTCATAACTGCTGAATCTTTTGGCTTTGGTGGGTAACTTGGGATAAGAAACAAACAGACAGACAGCTGTGGGGTGGGTGGCGCTGGGGGAAATGGATTGCTTGACTCTTCTCCCCCACCATTCACAAAGACACAGGTGACTGCAGAATGAGTGGTCGTGTAAGAAATGCTGGGCAGAGCCCATGAACTGTCTTGTCTGATATCAAGACAAGTGCTTTGGAAATGGAAGGCCAAGGAAAATGAGTTTTGTCGGAGGGGGGCATGCGGGGAGGATATTTTCAGATACACGTTTGGATGCAGCCAAGTGTTTGCCCACCTTTCAGCCAGTCCTGCTTGCATCTGGCTAAGATGTCCCGAGCCAAACTACTGTTTTCCCATCACTCATTTCCTTCCACAGCCTCGTGGCGCTGTCTGAAGTTGGGCAATGTAGGTATGTGGGTTTCCGTGGTGAGTGGACAACAGGAAGAACTTGTGAAAGTCAACACAAAGTTTGAGAAGAGATTCGCTCAGGAAAGGCTGTGTATTGGCGTGGGAAGCATAAGGTTATCAGGTGGCAATATTGGGTTTCTATGGTGTTGTTGTCGGGTTGTACGATTTAACGGACAAGCATTATGACAGTGAGCGTGAGGGTCAGAGGTGATCTTGGACGCTTGGATCTGTGTGCACATGGCTGCGATGGCATGGCTTAAGAGGTGATGGCATCTCAGTGGGCACGTTGACACCCTGTATCGTTGGACACGCCATGGAATCTTTGCTCAGGAAGCCGGGGTTTTGGTAAGGTTTATTTTTCTGTACCTGAAAGGCAGGGCTACAGGCAGGAGGCACCAGGGGTGTGTGGGCTGCATGTTGGGTCTCTGGATTCTTGTGTTTGTTTGTTTTCTGGAGAGTAGTTGATGTTTAGGGGAGAGGTAGCAGAGTCACACAGAGCAAAACGTGACAAGAGAGCTTGCGTCCTCTGCCCGACTCCACAAAAGCCACAGCCCAAATCCGGGTCGTTCTGATGCTGGGAGCCAGGAGTATAGTGGGAGTTTGCCGTGTGTCTGCAGGGTGCGATGGCCTTGGACCCGCCTCTGCTGGTTTTCCTGGCTTGGAGCCAGCGAGCGGGATTAGAAAACAGAGCAGCAGCCAGTGCTCCCCATGGTGGCCATTAGTATGTTGGTGAAGACTGCACTTAATGGATATGAAGCATCTGATACCTTGTGCATTCCAAATGTGCCAGCTCACAGTCTTCACCATTCAGTGACCACATAGCGAGTGTAGGTGCGTTTCAGGAGGATGGATGTTGTCAGGTGTTGAGGAGCAACCTTGCTTCCATGTCACGGATGGAAGGCCAGGCACTATGAAGCCGGCAGTATGTTGAAGGAGATGATCAGGTTGAAATGTTGAGGTTCCAGTTGTCCTAGATGTGGGCTGTTGTGAGTGAGTGAGTGAGTGTGTGTGTTTTCGCAGGGTGGGGAGTTTGAGGGCTCTTAGTTTTCCACCTCTTCTAGCTGTCCAAGGGGCTCAGGTGTAGGTAAAGGTATGTGTGAGGCTCAGATTGATGTAGGCTTGGCGTGGTGTCAGTCAAGTACGAAATGGAAATGACTTGTAGGACAAGGATGTTGGCAAGTGTCCGAACTGATGGATCGTGGAGTCTGGTGAATCGGGAGAGGAGTGAGCCAGTGAGGATGCTGAGAGGTCGGGGAACTAACCCTTAGGTCCGAGCCCCAAGCGAGCTGCAGTGTGAGTGACTAGGCGAGAAGGCAAGGGAAGGGTCAAAGAGTTGTATTCCCAGGAGGGAGGTCTGAATGGATGTCCTCGGACCCTGAGCATTTCCCGATGGTAGAGTCCAGGAACACGTATTGCCCAGCGGGGGTGTCTAAGGTTGGCCAGTACTCATTGAAGGAAGAATGAGGAAGCAGGAACAGAATGGGAGGAAGAAGAGAGGTGCTACTCTGTGGACAACTTCTCAAAGCTGCTGCTGCAGCAGGTGGGTAGCTAAGTCCCAGCTGGAGAAACCTCAGCTTCATTTGGCTGTAGAGAATTTGGCAGAGCAGGAGATCCAGTGGCCTCGGGGTATTCTTGTGGCCATGGCTAAGGATGCAGGTGCCAAGCTGGCTTATGCACCGCCCTGGATGTGGGAGATATCACAGTGTCCCTTGTGATCCAGAAATGTCCCAAGTACAAAATAAGACCCTCGATGTTCATGGTTTCCTTTTATTCCTTTTCTTTCTTTTTAAGCATGTCTACTTCCCAACCCATCGTCTGAGCCAGCGTCGGACAGCAAACCTAACCAAGACAAGCTGGAGGTAAGTCCTGACAGTGTAATTTTACCCGTGTGGTGTGTGCGTGGGACAGAACGGACATGCCCCTGTAATTTGTTTTCTCCAGAAATCTGTTTCTTTTCTGAGTCGACACCTCTCAGGGAGTACACCAGTGTAGCAGGGGATTTGGTTTCCCCCTTTGGATTTACACAGGAATATTTGGACGTAATGTTTTGAGAGTCTACCTTGCTGAGTTTTTCAGTTTGGTCCTCCGCCACATCTGGAGTCAGCTGCCCACTTGTTCTTTCCCTTCTCGGGCTAAGCGTGCTAGGTACTCTGCATTGGGGATCTCCTGGCCAGTGGCTGTGCGTTCTCTTTAGCCAGAATATTGCTGTGTTGTCCAAACCTGCTTTCTGTTCTTTGACCACACAGTTGCGATCGCTCAAACCCATCTGATGTTTCTCTGGACCACTTAGTCTGTATATTATGGGTTTCTTATGATTATGTCCCTAAATATTTGTGTCTAAATGTTGCATTTTTTGATTGTTAGTGATACCAGATTTATGTTATTTTGTTACAGACCTGCAGCTTCACTGTGCCAGCAGTTCCCTGCGAGGAGAAAAAAGAATTGTGTGATTTCCAGGGGACAACAGCTACGGCTCATCCAGCCAAAAGCCCAACTGTTCCACCGAATCCGTACCGGAGGGTAGGGCCTCCTCACGCTCGCCCCCCTGCAGGAGCTCCGCCAGCCAGCCCTGCTCAGAAATTTTTGCCCACGGGGGTTCCTGCCATATGGCCACCACCACCGCCTGCTGGAGGTATGTGATTTGGTTTGTCAGGGAATTTTGTTTTTCTCTTCCTTGCACACTACAAAGACGAAACACTAGTTTGTTCATGAAATAGATGCTCACTTGACCGTGGCTCATCTACTCATGAGAGAGAAAGCAAAAGCCCAAACTGACTCTAATGCCATGTGAGTGAAGCATGACTTTTCAGATTGGGAAGGGAGCCAGCCAACCATAGACAGCCTTCATGTGAATGGAAGCCCACTCGCTTCCTTTTGCCCTCTTACAGTAACACGGGCATTATTTCACACTATATCAGTTGATAGAGAGCGGTTATGCTGGCTGCTACTGAAGATGATCCTAATTCCCATAGTCCACAAAAGGACTAGGTGAAATGGTCTTTCGTGAGTAGCTCCTGTGCGTTCCTAGTCTATTTACAACCTACTGATTGTAAGGCTGCTTTGATCATGTTTGGCCTCATAACTGCTGAATCTTTTGGCTTTGGTGGGTAACTTGGGATAAGAAACAAACAGACAGACAGCTGTGGGGTGGGTGGCGCTGGGGGAAATGGATTGCTTGACTCTTCTCCCCCACCATTCACAAAGACACAGGTGACTGCAGAATGAGTGGTCGTGTAAGAAATGCTGGGCAGAGCCCATGAACTGTCTTGTCTGATATCAAGACAAGTGCTTTGGAAATGGAAGGCCAAGGAAAATGAGTTTTGTCGGAGGGGGGCATGCGGGGAGGATATTTTCAGATACACGTTTGGATGCAGCCAAGTGTTTGCCCACCTTTCAGCCAGTCCTGCTTGCATCTGGCTAAGATGTCCCGAGCCAAACTACTGTTTTCCCATCACTCATTTCCTTCCACAGCCTCGTGGCGCTGTCTGAAGTTGGGCAATGTAGGTATGTGGGTTTCCGTGGTGAGTGGACAACAGGAAGAACTTGTGAAAGTCAACACAAAGTTTGAGAAGAGATTCGCTCAGGAAAGGCTGTGTATTGGCGTGGGAAGCATAAGGTTATCAGGTGGCAATATTGGGTTTCTATGGTGTTGTTGTCGGGTTGTACGATTTAACGGACAAGCATTATGACAGTGAGCGTGAGGGTCAGAGGTGATCTTGGACGCTTGGATCTGTGTGCACATGGCTGCGATGGCATGGCTTAAGAGGTGATGGCATCTCAGTGGGCACGTTGACACCCTGTATCGTTGGACACGCCATGGAATCTTTGCTCAGGAAGCCGGGGTTTTGGTAAGGTTTATTTTTCTGTACCTGAAAGGCAGGGCTACAGGCAGGAGGCACCAGGGGTGTGTGGGCTGCATGTTGGGTCTCTGGATTCTTGTGTTTGTTTGTTTTCTGGAGAGTAGTTGATGTTTAGGGGAGAGGTAGCAGAGTCACACAGAGCAAAACGTGACAAGAGAGCTTGCGTCCTCTGCCCGACTCCACAAAAGCCACAGCCCAAATCCGGGTCGTTCTGATGCTGGGAGCCAGGAGTATAGTGGGAGTTTGCCGTGTGTCTGCAGGGTGCGATGGCCTTGGACCCGCCTCTGCTGGTTTTCCTGGCTTGGAGCCAGCGAGCGGGATTAGAAAACAGAGCAGCAGCCAGTGCTCCCCATGGTGGCCATTAGTATGTTGGTGAAGACTGCACTTAATGGATATGAAGCATCTGATACCTTGTGCATTCCAAATGTGCCAGCTCACAGTCTTCACCATTCAGTGACCACATAGCGAGTGTAGGTGCGTTTCAGGAGGATGGATGTTGTCAGGTGTTGAGGAGCAACCTTGCTTCCATGTCACGGATGGAAGGCCAGGCACTATGAAGCCGGCAGTATGTTGAAGGAGATGATCAGGTTGAAATGTTGAGGTTCCAGTTGTCCTAGATGTGGGCTGTTGTGAGTGAGTGAGTGAGTGTGTGTGTTTTCGCAGGGTGGGGAGTTTGAGGGCTCTTAGTTTTCCACCTCTTCTAGCTGTCCAAGGGGCTCAGGTGTAGGTAAAGGTATGTGTGAGGCTCAGATTGATGTAGGCTTGGCGTGGTGTCAGTCAAGTACGAAATGGAAATGACTTGTAGGACAAGGATGTTGGCAAGTGTCCGAACTGATGGATCGTGGAGTCTGGTGAATCGGGAGAGGAGTGAGCCAGTGAGGATGCTGAGAGGTCGGGGAACTAACCCTTAGGTCCGAGCCCCAAGCGAGCTGCAGTGTGAGTGACTAGGCGAGAAGGCAAGGGAAGGGTCAAAGAGTTGTATTCCCAGGAGGGAGGTCTGAATGGATGTCCTCGGACCCTGAGCATTTCCCGATGGTAGAGTCCAGGAACACGTATTGCCCAGCGGGGGTGTCTAAGGTTGGCCAGTACTCATTGAAGGAAGAATGAGGAAGCAGGAACAGAATGGGAGGAAGAAGAGAGGTGCTACTCTGTGGACAACTTCTCAAAGCTGCTGCTGCAGCAGGTGGGTAGCTAAGTCCCAGCTGGAGAAACCTCAGCTTCATTTGGCTGTAGAGAATTTGGCAGAGCAGGAGATCCAGTGGCCTCGGGGTATTCTTGTGGCCATGGCTAAGGATGCAGGTGCCAAGCTGGCTTATGCACCGCCCTGGATGTGGGAGATATCACAGTGTCCCTTGTGATCCAGAAATGTCCCAAGTACAAAATAAGACCCTCGATGTTCATGGTTTCCTTTTATTCCTTTTCTTTCTTTTTAAGCATGTCTACTTCCCAACCCATCGTCTGAGCCAGCGTCGGACAGCAAACCTCACCAAGACAAGCTGGAGGTAAGTCCTGACAGTGTAATTTTACCCGTGTGGTGTGTGCGTGGGACAGAACGGACATGCCCCTGTAATTTGTTTTCTCCAGAAATCTGTTTCTTTTCTGAGTCGACACCTCTCAGGGAGTACACCAGTGTAGCAGGGGATTTGGTTTCCCCCTTTGGATTTACACAGGAATATTTGGACGTAATGTTTTGAGAGTCTACCTTGCTGAGTTTTTCAGTTTGGTCCTCCGCCACATCTGGTGTCAGCTGCCCACTTGTTCTTTCCCTTCTCGGGCTAAGCGTGCTAGGTACTCTGCATTGGGGATCTCCTGGCCAGTGGCTGTGCGTTCTCTTTAGCCAGAATATTGCTGTGTTGTCCAAACCTGCTTTCTGTTCTTTGACCACACAGTTGCGATCGCTCAAACCCATCTGATGTTTCTCTGGACCACTTAGTCTGTATATTATGGGTTTCTTATGATTATGTCCCTAAATATTTGTGTCTAAATGTTGCATTTTTTGATTGTTAGTGATACCAGATTTATGTTATTTTGTTACAGACCTGCAGCTTCACTGTGCCAGCAGTTCCCTGCGAGGAGAAAAAAGAATTGTGTGATTTCCAGGGGACAACAGCTACGGCTCATCCAGCCAAAAGCCCAACTGTTCCACCGAATCCGTACCGGAGGGTAGGGCCTCCTCACGCTCGCCCCCCTGCAGGAGCTCCGCCAGCCAGCCCTGCTCAGAAATTTTTGCCCACGGGGGTTCCTGCCATATGGCCACCACCACCGCCTGCTGGAGGTATGTGATTTGGTTTGTCAGGGAATTTTGTTTTTCTCTTCCTTGCACACTACAAAGACGAAACACTAGTTTGTTCATGAAATAGATGCTCACTTGACCGTGGCTCATCTACTCATGAGAGAGAAAGCAAAAGCCCAAACTGACTCTAATGCCATGTGAGTGAAGCATGACTTTTCAGATTGGGAAGGGAGCCAGCCAACCATAGACAGCCTTCATGTGAATGGAAGCCCACTCGCTTCCTTTTGCCCTCTTACAGTAACACGGGCATTATTTCACACTATATCAGTTGATAGAGAGCGGTTATGCTGGCTGCTACTGAAGATGATCCTAATTCCCATAGTCCACAAAAGGACTAGGTGAAATGGTCTTTCGTGAGTAGCTCCTGTGCGTTCCTAGTCTATTTACAACCTACTGATTGTAAGGCTGCTTTGATCATGTTTGGCCTCATAACTGCTGAATCTTTTGGCTTTGGTGGGTAACTTGGGATAAGAAACAAACAGACAGACAGCTGTGGGGTGGGTGGCGCTGGGGGAAATGGATTGCTTGACTCTTCTCCCCCACCATTCACAAAGACACAGGTGACTGCAGAATGAGTGGTCGTGTAAGAAATGCTGGGCAGAGCCCATGAACTGTCTTGTCTGATATCAAGACAAGTGCTTTGGAAATGGAAGGCCAAGGAAAATGAGTTTTGTCGGAGGGGGGCATGCGGGGAGGATATTTTCAGATACACGTTTGGATGCAGCCAAGTGTTTGCCCACCTTTCAGCCAGTCCTGCTTGCATCTGGCTAAGATGTCCCGAGCCAAACTACTGTTTTCCCATCACTCATTTCCTTCCACAGCCTCGTGGCGCTGTCTGAAGTTGGGCAATGTAGGTATGTGGGTTTCCGTGGTGAGTGGACAACAGGAAGAACTTGTGAAAGTCAACACAAAGTTTGAGAAGAGATTCGCTCAGGAAAGGCTGTGTATTGGCGTGGGAAGCATAAGGTTATCAGGTGGCAATATTGGGTTTCTATGGTGTTGTTGTCGGGTTGTACGATTTAACGGACAAGCATTATGACAGTGAGCGTGAGGGTCAGAGGTGATCTTGGACGCTTGGATCTGTGTGCACATGGCTGCGATGGCATGGCTTAAGAGGTGATGGCATCTCAGTGGGCACGTTGACACCCTGTATCGTTGGACACGCCATGGAATCTTTGCTCAGGAAGCCGGGGTTTTGGTAAGGTTTATTTTTCTGTACCTGAAAGGCAGGGCTACAGGCAGGAGGCACCAGGGGTGTGTGGGCTGCATGTTGGGTCTCTGGATTCTTGTGTTTGTTTGTTTTCTGGAGAGTAGTTGATGTTTAGGGGAGAGGTAGCAGAGTCACACAGAGCAAAACGTGACAAGAGAGCTTGCGTCCTCTGCCCGACTCCACAAAAGCCACAGCCCAAATCCGGGTCGTTCTGATGCTGGGAGCCAGGAGTATAGTGGGAGTTTGCCGTGTGTCTGCAGGGTGCGATGGCCTTGGACCCGCCTCTGCTGGTTTTCCTGGCTTGGAGCCAGCGAGCGGGATTAGAAAACAGAGCAGCAGCCAGTGCTCCCCATGGTGGCCATTAGTATGTTGGTGAAGACTGCACTTAATGGATATGAAGCATCTGATACCTTGTGCATTCCAAATGTGCCAGCTCACAGTCTTCACCATTCAGTGACCACATAGCGAGTGTAGGTGCGTTTCAGGAGGATGGATGTTGTCAGGTGTTGAGGAGCAACCTTGCTTCCATGTCACGGATGGAAGGCCAGGCACTATGAAGCCGGCAGTATGTTGAAGGAGATGATCAGGTTGAAATGTTGAGGTTCCAGTTGTCCTAGATGTGGGCTGTTGTGAGTGAGTGAGTGAGTGTGTGTGTTTTCGCAGGGTGGGGAGTTTGAGGGCTCTTAGTTTTCCACCTCTTCTAGCTGTCCAAGGGGCTCAGGTGTAGGTAAAGGTATGTGTGAGGCTCAGATTGATGTAGGCTTGGCGTGGTGTCAGTCAAGTACGAAATGGAAATGACTTGTAGGACAAGGATGTTGGCAAGTGTCCGAAGTGATGGATCGTGGAGTCTGGTGAATCGGGAGAGGAGTGAGCCAGTGAGGATGCTGAGAGGTCGGGGAACTAACCCTTAGGTCCGAGCCCCAAGCGAGCTGCAGTGTGAGTGACTAGGCGAGAAGGCAAGGGAAGGGTCAAAGAGTTGTATTCCCAGGAGGGAGGTCTGAATGGATGTCCTCGGACCCTGAGCATTTCCCGATGGTAGAGTCCAGGAACACGTATTGCCCAGCGGGGGTGTCTAAGGTTGGCCAGTACTCATTGAAGGAAGAATGAGGAAGCAGGAACAGAATGGGAGGAAGAAGAGAGGTGCTACTCTGTGGACAACTTCTCAAAGCTGCTGCTGCAGCAGGTGGGTAGCTAAGTCCCAGCTGGAGAAACCTCAGCTTCATTTGGCTGTAGAGAATTTGGCAGAGCAGGAGATCCAGTGGCCTCGGGGTATTCTTGTGGCCATGGCTAAGGATGCAGGTGCCAAGCTGGCTTATGCACCGCCCTGGATGTGGGAGATATCACAGTGTCCCTTGTGATCCAGAAATGTCCCAAGTACAAAATAAGACCCTCGATGTTCATGGTTTCCTTTTATTCCTTTTCTTTCTTTTTAAGCATGTCTACTTCCCAACCCATCGTCTGAGCCAGCGTCGGACAGCAAACCTCACCAAGACAAGCTGGAGGTAAGTCCTGACAGTGTAATTTTACCCGTGTGGTGTGTGCGTGGGACAGAACGGACATGCCCCTGTAATTTGTTTTCTCCAGAAATCTGTTTCTTTTCTGAGTCGACACCTCTCAGGGAGTACACCAGTGTAGCAGGGGATTTGGTTTCCCCCTTTGGATTTACACAGGAATATTTGGACGTAATGTTTTGAGAGTCTACCTTGCTGAGTTTTTCAGTTTGGTCCTCCGCCACATCTGGTGTCAGCTGCCCACTTGTTCTTTCCCTTCTCGGGCTAAGCGTGCTAGGTACTCTGCATTGGGGATCTCCTGGCCAGTGGCTGTGCGTTCTCTTTAGCCAGAATATTGCTGTGTTGTCCAAACCTGCTTTCTGTTCTTTGACCACACAGTTGCGATCGCTCAAACCCATCTGATGTTTCTCTGGACCACTTAGTCTGTATATTATGGGTTTCTTATGATTATGTCCCTAAATATTTGTGTCTAAATGTTGCATTTTTTGATTGTTAGTGATACCAGATTTATGTTATTTTGTTACAGACCTGCAGCTTCACTGTGCCAGCAGTTCCCTGCGAGGAGAAAAAAGAATTGTGTGATTTCCAGGGGACAACAGCCACGGCTCATCCAGCCAAAAGCCCAACTGTTCCACCGAATCCGTACCGGAGGGTAGGGCCTCCTCACGCTCGCCCCCCTGCAGGAGCTCCGCCAGCCAGCCCTGCTCAGAAATTTTTGCCCACGGGGGTTCCTGCCATATGGCCACCACCACCGCCTGCTGGAGGTATGTGATTTGGTTTGTCAGGGAATTTTGTTTTTCTCTTCCTTGCACACTACAAAGACGAAACACTAGTTTGTTCATGAAATAGATGCTCACTTGACCGTGGCTCATCTACTCATGAGAGAGAAAGCAAAAGCCCAAACTGACTCTAATGCCATGTGAGTGAAGCATGACTTTTCAGATTGGGAAGGGAGCCAGCCAACCATAGACAGCCTTCATGTGAATGGAAGCCCACTCGCTTCCTTTTGCCCTCTTACAGTAACACGGGCATTATTTCACACTATATCAGTTGATAGAGAGCGGTTATGCTGGCTGCTACTGAAGATGATCCTAATTCCCATAGTCCACAAAAGGACTAGGTGAAATGGTCTTTCGTGAGTAGCTCCTGTGCGTTCCTAGTCTATTTACAACCTACTGATTGTAAGGCTGCTTTGATCATGTTTGGCCTCATAACTGCTGAATCTTTTGGCTTTGGTGGGTAACTTGGGATAAGAAACAAACAGACAGACAGCTGTGGGGTGGGTGGCGCTGGGGGAAATGGATTGCTTGACTCTTCTCCCCCACCATTCACAAAGACACAGGTGACTGCAGAATGAGTGGTCGTGTAAGAAATGCTGGGCAGAGCCCATGAACTGTCTTGTCTGATATCAAGACAAGTGCTTTGGAAATGGAAGGCCAAGGAAAATGAGTTTTGTCGGAGGGGGGCATGCGGGGAGGATATTTTCAGATACACGTTTGGATGCAGCCAAGTGTTTGCCCACCTTTCAGCCAGTCCTGCTTGCATCTGGCTAAGATGTCCCGAGCCAAACTACTGTTTTCCCATCACTCATTTCCTTCCACAGCCTCGTGGCGCTGTCTGAAGTTGGGCAATGTAGGTATGTGGGTTTCCGTGGTGAGTGGACAACAGGAAGAACTTGTGAAAGTCAACACAAAGTTTGAGAAGAGATTCGCTCAGGAAAGGCTGTGTATTGGCGTGGGAAGCATAAGGTTATCAGGTGGCAATATTGGGTTTCTATGGTGTTGTTGTCGGGTTGTACGATTTAACGGACAAGCATTATGACAGTGAGCGTGAGGGTCAGAGGTGATCTTGGACGCTTGGATCTGTGTGCACATGGCTGCGATGGCATGGCTTAAGAGGTGATGGCATCTCAGTGGGCACGTTGACACCCTGTATCGTTGGACACGCCATGGAATCTTTGCTCAGGAAGCCGGGGTTTTGGTAAGGTTTATTTTTCTGTACCTGAAAGGCAGGGCTACAGGCAGGAGGCACCAGGGGTGTGTGGGCTGCATGTTGGGTCTCTGGATTCTTGTGTTTGTTTGTTTTCTGGAGAGTAGTTGATGTTTAGGGGAGAGGTAGCAGAGTCACACAGAGCAAAACGTGACAAGAGAGCTTGCGTCCTCTGCCCGACTCCACAAAAGCCACAGCCCAAATCCGGGTCGTTCTGATGCTGGGAGCCAGGAGTATAGTGGGAGTTTGCCGTGTGTCTGCAGGGTGCGATGGCCTTGGACCCGCCTCTGCTGGTTTTCCTGGCTTGGAGCCAGCGAGCGGGATTAGAAAACAGAGCAGCAGCCAGTGCTCCCCATGGTGGCCATTAGTATGTTGGTGAAGACTGCACTTAATGGATATGAAGCATCTGATACCTTGTGCATTCCAAATGTGCCAGCTCACAGTCTTCACCATTCAGTGACCACATAGCGAGTGTAGGTGCGTTTCAGGAGGATGGATGTTGTCAGGTGTTGAGGAGCAACCTTGCTTCCATGTCACGGATGGAAGGCCAGGCACTATGAAGCCGGCAGTATGTTGAAGGAGATGATCAGGTTGAAATGTTGAGGTTCCAGTTGTCCTAGATGTGGGCTGTTGTGAGTGAGTGAGTGAGTGTGTGTGTTTTCGCAGGGTGGGGAGTTTGAGGGCTCTTAGTTTTCCACCTCTTCTAGCTGTCCAAGGGGCTCAGGTGTAGGTAAAGGTATGTGTGAGGCTCAGATTGATGTAGGCTTGGCGTGGTGTCAGTCAAGTACGAAATGGAAATGACTTGTAGGACAAGGATGTTGGCAAGTGTCCGAACTGATGGATCGTGGAGTCTGGTGAATCGGGAGAGGAGTGAGCCAGTGAGGATGCTGAGAGGTCGGGGAACTAACCCTTAGGTCCGAGCCCCAAGCGAGCTGCAGTGTGAGTGACTAGGCGAGAAGGCAAGGGAAGGGTCAAAGAGTTGTATTCCCAGGAGGGAGGTCTGAATGGATGTCCTCGGACCCTGAGCATTTCCCGATGGTAGAGTCCAGGAACACGTATTGCCCAGCGGGGGTGTCTAAGGTTGGCCAGTACTCATTGAAGGAAGAATGAGGAAGCAGGAACAGAATGGGAGGAAGAAGAGAGGTGCTACTCTGTGGACAACTTCTCAAAGCTGCTGCTGCAGCAGGTGGGTAGCTAAGTCCCAGCTGGAGAAACCTCAGCTTCATTTGGCTGTAGAGAATTTGGCAGAGCAGGAGATCCAGTGGCCTCGGGGTATTCTTGTGGCCATGGCTAAGGATGCAGGTGCCAAGCTGGCTTATGCACCGCCCTGGATGTGGGAGATATCACAGTGTCCCTTGTGATCCAGAAATGTCCCAAGTACAAAATAAGACCCTCGATGTTCATGGTTTCCTTTTATTCCTTTTCTTTCTTTTTAAGCATGTCTACTTCCCAACCCATCGTCTGAGCCAGCGTCGGACAGCAAACCTCACCAAGACAAGCTGGAGGTAAGTCCTGACAGTGTAATTTTACCCGTGTGGTGTGTGCGTGGGACAGAACGGACATGCCCCTGTAATTTGTTTTCTCCAGAAATCTGTTTCTTTTCTGAGTCGACACCTCTCAGGGAGTACACCAGTGTAGCAGGGGATTTGGTTTCCCCCTTTGGATTTACACAGGAATATTTGGACGTAATGTTTTGAGAGTCTACCTTGCTGAGTTTTTCAGTTTGGTCCTCCGCCACATCTGGAGTCAGCTGCCCACTTGTTCTTTCCCTTCTCGGGCTAAGCGTGCTAGGTACTCTGCATTGGGGATCTCCTGGCCAGTGGCTGTGCGTTCTCTTTAGCCAGAATATTGCTGTGTTGTCCAAACCTGCTTTCTGTTCTTTGACCACACAGTTGCGATCGCTCAAACCCATCTGATGTTTCTCTGGACCACTTAGTCTGTATATTATGGGTTTCTTATGATTATGTCCCTAAATATTTGTGTCTAAATGTTGCATTTTTTGATTGTTAGTGATACCAGATTTATGTTATTTTGTTACAGACCTGCAGCTTCACTGTGCCAGCAGTTCCCTGCGAGGAGAAAAAAGAATTGTGTGATTTCCAGGGGACAACAGCCACGGCTCATCCAGCCAAAAGCCCAACTGTTCCACCGAATCCGTACCGGAGGGTAGGGCCTCCTCACGCTCGCCCCCCTGCAGGAGCTCCGCCAGCCAGCCCTGCTCACAAATTTTTGCCCACGGGGGTTCCTGCCATATGGCCACCACCACCGCCTGCTGGAGGTATGTGATTTGGTTTGTCAGGGAATTTTGTTTTTCTCTTCCTTGCACACTACAAAGACGAAACACTAGTTTGTTCATGAAATAGATGCTCACTTGACCGTGGCTCATCTACTCATGAGAGAGAAAGCAAAAGCCCAAACTGACTCTAATGCCATGTGAGTGAAGCATGACTTTTCAGATTGGGAAGGGAGCCAGCCAACCATAGACAGCCTTCATGTGAATGGAAGCCCACTCGCTTCCTTTTGCCCTCTTACAGTAACACGGGCATTATTTCACACTATATCAGTTGATAGAAAGCGGTTATGCTGGCTGCTACTGAAGATGATCCTAATTCCCATAGTCCACAAAAGGACTAGGTGAAATGGTCTTTCGTGAGTAGCTCCTGTGCGTTCCTAGTCTATTTACAACCTACTGATTGTAAGGCTGCTTTGATCATGTTTGGCCTCATAACTGCTGAATCTTTTGGCTTTGGTGGGTAACTTGGGATAAGAAACAAACAGACAGACAGCTGTGGGGTGGGTGGCGCTGGGGGAAATGGATTGCTTGACTCTTCTCCCCCACCATTCACAAAGACACAGGTGACTGCAGAATGAGTGGTCGTGTAAGAAATGCTGGGCAGAGCCCATGAACTGTCTTGTCTGATATCAAGACAAGTGCTTTGGAAATGGAAGGCCAAGGAAAATGAGTTTTGTCGGAGGGGGGCATGCGGGGAGGATATTTTCAGATACACGTTTGGATGCAGCCAAGTGTTTGCCCACCTTTCAGCCAGTCCTGCTTGCATCTGGCTAAGATGTCCCGAGCCAAACTACTGTTTTCCCATCACTCATTTCCTTCCACAGCCTCGTGGCGCTGTCTGAAGTTGGGCAATGTAGGTATGTGGGTTTCCGTGGTGAGTGGACAACAGGAAGAACTTGTGAAAGTCAACACAAAGTTTGAGAAGAGATTCGCTCAGGAAAGGCTGTGTATTGGCGTGGGAAGCATAAGGTTATCAGGTGGCAATATTGGGTTTCTATGGTGTTGTTGTCGGGTTGTACGATTTAACGGACAAGCATTATGACAGTGAGCGTGAGGGTCAGAGGTGATCTTGGACGCTTGGATCTGTGTGCACATGGCTGCGATGGCATGGCTTAAGAGGTGATGGCATCTCAGTGGGCACGTTGACACCCTGTATCGTTGGACACGCCATGGAATCTTTGCTCAGGAAGCCGGGGTTTTGGTAAGGTTTATTTTTCTGTACCTGAAAGGCAGGGCTACAGGCAGGAGGCACCAGGGGTGTGTGGGCTGCATGTTGGGTCTCTGGATTCTTGTGTTTGTTTGTTTTCTGGAGAGTAGTTGATGTTTAGGGGAGAGGTAGCAGAGTCACACAGAGCAAAACGTGACAAGAGAGCTTGCGTCCTCTGCCCGACTCCACAAAAGCCACAGCCCAAATCCGGGTCGTTCTGATGCTGGGAGCCAGGAGTATAGTGGGAGTTTGCCGTGTGTCTGCAGGGTGCGATGGCCTTGGACCCGCCTCTGCTGGTTTTCCTGGCTTGGAGCCAGCGAGCGGGATTAGAAAACAGAGCAGCAGCCAGTGCTCCCCATGGTGGCCATTAGTATGTTGGTGAAGACTGCACTTAATGGATATGAAGCATCTGATACCTTGTGCATTCCAAATGTGCCAGCTCACAGTCTTCACCATTCAGTGACCACATAGCGAGTGTAGGTGCGTTTCAGGAGGATGGATGTTGTCAGGTGTTGAGGAGCAACCTTGCTTCCATGTCACGGATGGAAGGCCAGGCACTATGAAGCCGGCAGTATGTTGAAGGAGATGATCAGGTTGAAATGTTGAGGTTCCAGTTGTCCTAGATGTGGGCTGTTGTGAGTGAGTGAGTGAGTGTGTGTGTTTTCGCAGGGTGGGGAGTTTGAGGGCTCTTAGTTTTCCACCTCTTCTAGCTGTCCAAGGGGCTCAGGTGTAGGTAAAGGTATGTGTGAGGCTCAGATTGATGTAGGCTTGGCGTGGTGTCAGTCAAGTACGAAATGGAAATGACTTGTAGGACAAGGATGTTGGCAAGTGTCCGAACTGATGGATCGTGGAGTCTGGTGAATCGGGAGAGGAGTGAGCCAGTGAGGATGCTGAGAGGTCGGGGAACTAACCCTTAGGTCCGAGCCCCAAGCGAGCTGCAGTGTGAGTGACTAGGCGAGAAGGCAAGGGAAGGGTCAAAGAGTTGTATTCCCAGGAGGGAGGTCTGAATGGATGTCCTCGGACCCTGAGCATTTCCCGATGGTAGAGTCCAGGAACACGTATTGCCCAGCGGGGGTGTCTAAGGTTGGCCAGTACTCATTGAAGGAAGAATGAGGAAGCAGGAACAGAATGGGAGGAAGAAGAGAGGTGCTACTCTGTGGACAACTTCTCAAAGCTGCTGCTGCAGCAGGTGGGTAGCTAAGTCCCAGCTGGAGAAACCTCAGCTTCATTTGGCTGTAGAGAATTTGGCAGAGCAGGAGATCCAGTGGCCTCGGGGTATTCTTGTGGCCATGGCTAAGGATGCAGGTGCCAAGCTGGCTTATGCACCGCCCTGGATGTGGGAGATATCACAGTGTCCCTTGTGATCCAGAAATGTCCCAAGTACAAAATAAGACCCTCGATGTTCATGGTTTCCTTTTATTCCTTTTCTTTCTTTTTAAGCATGTCTACTTCCCAACCCATCGTCTGAGCCAGCGTCGGACAGCAAACCTAACCAAGACAAGCTGGAGGTAAGTCCTGACAGTGTAATTTTACCCGTGTGGTGTGTGCGTGGGACAGAACGGACATGCCCCTGTAATTTGTTTTCTCCAGAAATCTGTTTCTTTTCTGAGTCGACACCTCTCAGGGAGTACACCAGTGTAGCAGGGGATTTGGTTTCCCCCTTTGGATTTACACAGGAATATTTGGACGTAATGTTTTGAGAGTCTACCTTGCTGAGTTTTTCAGTTTGGTCCTCCGCCACATCTGGAGTCAGCTGCCCACTTGTTCTTTCCCTTCTCGGGCTAAGCGTGCTAGGTACTCTGCATTGGGGATCTCCTGGCCAGTGGCTGTGCGTTCTCTTTAGCCAGAATATTGCTGTGTTGTCCAAACCTGCTTTCTGTTCTTTGACCACACAGTTGCGATCGCTCAAACCCATCTGATGTTTCTCTGGACCACTTAGTCTGTATATTATGGGTTTCTTATGATTATGTCCCTAAATATTTGTGTCTAAATGTTGCATTTTTTGATTGTTAGTGATACCAGATTTATGTTATTTTGTTACAGACCTGCAGCTTCACTGTGCCAGCAGTTCCCTGCGAGGAGAAAAAAGAATTGTGTGATTTCCAGGGGACAACAGCTACGGCTCATCCAGCCAAAAGCCCAACTGTTCCACCGAATCCGTACCGGAGGGTAGGGCCTCCTCACGCTCGCCCCCCTGCAGGAGCTCCGCCAGCCAGCCCTGCTCACAAATTTTTGCCCACGGGGGTTCCTGCCATATGGCCACCACCACCGCCTGCTGGAGGTATGTGATTTGGTTTGTCAGGGAATTTTGTTTTTCTCTTCCTTGCACACTACAAAGACGAAACACTAGTTTGTTCATGAAATAGATGCTCACTTGACCGTGGCTCATCTACTCATGAGAGAGAAAGCAAAAGCCCAAACTGACTCTAATGCCATGTGAGTGAAGCATGACTTTTCAGATTGGGAAGGGAGCCAGCCAACCATAGACAGCCTTCATGTGAATGGAAGCCCACTCGCTTCCTTTTGCCCTCTTACAGTAACACGGGCATTATTTCACACTATATCAGTTGATAGAAAGCGGTTATGCTGGCTGCTACTGAAGATGATCCTAATTCCCATAGTCCACAAAAGGACTAGGTGAAATGGTCTTTCGTGAGTAGCTCCTGTGCGTTCCTAGTCTATTTACAACCTACTGATTGTAAGGCTGCTTTGATCATGTTTGGCCTCATAACTGCTGAATCTTTTGGCTTTGGTGGGTAACTTGGGATAAGAAACAAACAGACAGACAGCTGTGGGGTGGGTGGCGCTGGGGGAAATGGATTGCTTGACTCTTCTCCCCCACCATTCACAAAGACACAGGTGACTGCAGAATGAGTGGTCGTGTAAGAAATGCTGGGCAGAGCCCATGAACTGTCTTGTCTGATATCAAGACAAGTGCTTTGGAAATGGAAGGCCAAGGAAAATGAGTTTTGTCGGAGGGGGGCATGCGGGGAGGATATTTTCAGATACACGTTTGGATGCAGCCAAGTGTTTGCCCACCTTTCAGCCAGTCCTGCTTGCATCTGGCTAAGATGTCCCGAGCCAAACTACTGTTTTCCCATCACTCATTTCCTTCCACAGCCTCGTGGCGCTGTCTGAAGTTGGGCAATGTAGGTATGTGGGTTTCCGTGGTGAGTGGACAACAGGAAGAACTTGTGAAAGTCAACACAAAGTTTGAGAAGAGATTCGCTCAGGAAAGGCTGTGTATTGGCGTGGGAAGCATAAGGTTATCAGGTGGCAATATTGGGTTTCTATGGTGTTGTTGTCGGGTTGTACGATTTAACGGACAAGCATTATGACAGTGAGCGTGAGGGTCAGAGGTGATCTTGGACGCTTGGATCTGTGTGCACATGGCTGCGATGGCATGGCTTAAGAGGTGATGGCATCTCAGTGGGCACGTTGACACCCTGTATCGTTGGACACGCCATGGAATCTTTGTTCAGGAAGCCGGAGTTTTGGTAGGGTCTATTTTTCTGTACCTGAAAGGCAGGGCTACAGGGAGGAGGCACCAGGGGTGTGTGGGCTGCATGTTGGGTCTCTGGATTCTTCTGTTTGTTTGTTTTCTGGAGAGTAGTTGGTGTTTAGGGGAGATGTAGCAGAGTCACACAGAACAAAACGTGACAAGAGAGCTTGCGTCCTCTGCCCGACTCCACAAAAGCCACAGCCCAAATCCGGGTCGTTCTGATGCTGGGAGCCAGGAGTATAGTGGGAGTTTGCCGTGTGTCTGCAGGGTGCGATGGCCTTGGACCCGCCTCTGCTGGTTTTCCTGGCTTGGAGCCAGCGAGCGGGATTAGAAAACAGAGCAGCAGCCAGTGCTCCCCATGGTGGCCATTAGTATGTTGGTGAAGACTGCACTTAATGGATATGAAGCATCTGATACCTTGTGCATTCCAAATGTGCCAGCTCACAGTCTTCACCATTCAGTGACCACATAGCGAGTGTAGGTGCGTTTCAGGAGGATGGATGTTGTCAGGTGTTGAGGAGCAACCTTGCTTCCATGTCACGGATGGAAGGCCAGGCACTATGAAGCCGGCAGTATGTTGAAGGAGATGATCAGGTTGAAATGTTGAGGTTCCAGTTGTCCTAGATGTGGGCTGTTGTGAGTGAGTGAGTGAGTGTGTGTGTTTTCGCAGGGTGGGGAGTTTGAGGGCTCTTAGTTTTCCACCTCTTCTAGCTGTCCAAGGGGCTCAGGTGTAGGTAAAGGTATGTGTGAGGCTCAGATTGATGTAGGCTTGGCGTGGTGTCAGTCAAGTACGAAATGGAAATGACTTGTAGGACAAGGATGTTGGCAAGTGTCCGAACTGATGGATCGTGGAGTCTGGTGAATCGGGAGAGGAGTGAGCCAGTGAGGATGCTGAGAGGTCGGGGAACTAACCCTTAGGTCCGAGCCCCAAGCGAGCTGCAGTGTGAGTGACTAGGCGAGAAGGCAAGGGAAGGGTCAAAGAGTTGTATTCCCAGGAGGGAGGTCTGAATGGATGTCCTCGGACCCTGAGCATTTCCCGATGGTAGAGTCCAGGAACACGTATTGCCCAGCGGGGGTGTCTAAGGTTGGCCAGTACTCATTGAAGGAAGAATGAGGAAGCAGGAACAGAATGGGAGGAAGAAGAGAGGTGCTACTCTGTGGACAACTTCTCAAAGCTGCTGCTGCAGCAGGTGGGTAGCTAAGTCCCAGCTGGAGAAACCTCAGCTTCATTTGGCTGTAGAGAATTTGGCAGAGCAGGAGATCCAGTGGCCTCGGGGTATTCTTGTGGCCATGGCTAAGGATGCAGGTGCCAAGCTGGCTTATGCACCGCCCTGGATGTGGGAGATATCACAGTGTCCCTTGTGATCCAGAAATGTCCCAAGTACAAAATAAGACCCTCGATGTTCATGGTTTCCTTTTATTCCTTTTCTTTCTTTTTAAGCATGTCTACTTCCCAACCCATCGTCTGAGCCAGCGTCGGACAGCAAACCTCACCAAGACAAGCTGGAGGTAAGTCCTGACAGTGTAATTTTACCCGTGTGGTGTGTGCGTGGGACAGAACGGACATGCCCCTGTAATTTGTTTTCTCCAGAAATCTGTTTCTTTTCTGAGTCGACACCTCTCAGGGAGTACACCAGTGTAGCAGGGGATTTGGTTTCCCCCTTTGGATTTACACAGGAATATTTGGACGTAATGTTTTGAGAGTCTACCTTGCTGAGTTTTTCAGTTTGGTCCTCCGCCACATCTGGAGTCAGCTGCCCACTTGTTCTTTCCCTTCTCGGGCTAAGCGTGCTAGGTACTCTGCATTGGGGATCTCCTGGCCAGTGGCTGTGCGTTCTCTTTAGCCAGAATATTGCTGTGTTGTCCAAACCTGCTTTCTGTTCTTTGACCACACAGTTGCGATCGCTCAAACCCATCTGATGTTTCTCTGGACCACTTAGTCTGTATATTATGGGTTTCTTATGATTATGTCCCTAAATATTTGTGTCTAAATGTTGCATTTTTTGATTGTTAGTGATACCAGATTTATGTTATTTTGTTACAGACCTGCAGCTTCACTGTGCCAGCAGTTCCCTGCGAGGAGAAAAAAGAATTGTGTGATTTCCAGGGGACAACAGCTACGGCTCATCCAGCCAAAAGCCCAACTGTTCCACCGAATCCGTACCGGAGGGTAGGGCCTCCTCACGCTCGCCCCCCTGCAGGAGCTCCGCCAGCCAGCCCTGCTCACAAATTTTTGCCCACGGGGGTTCCTGCCATATGGCCACCACCACCGCCTGCTGGAGGTATGTGATTTGGTTTGTCAGGGAATTTTGTTTTTCTCTTCCTTGCACACTACAAAGACGAAACACTAGTTTGTTCATGAAATAGATGCTCACTTGACCGTGGCTCATCTACTCATGAGAGAGAAAGCAAAAGCCCAAACTGACTCTAATGCCATGTGAGTGAAGCATGACTTTTCAGATTGGGAAGGGAGCCAGCCAACCATAGACAGCCTTCATGTGAATGGAAGCCCACTCGCTTCCTTTTGCCCTCTTACAGTAACACGGGCATTATTTCACACTATATCAGTTGATAGAAAGCGGTTATGCTGGCTGCTACTGAAGATGATCCTAATTCCCATAGTCCACAAAAGGACTAGGTGAAATGGTCTTTCGTGAGTAGCTCCTGTGCGTTCCTAGTCTATTTACAACCTACTGATTGTAAGGCTGCTTTGATCATGTTTGGCCTCATAACTGCTGAATCTTTTGGCTTTGGTGGGTAACTTGGGATAAGAAACAAACAGACAGACAGCTGTGGGGTGGGTGGCGCTGGGGGAAATGGATTGCTTGACTCTTCTCCCCCACCATTCACAAAGACACAGGTGACTGCAGAATGAGTGGTCGTGTAAGAAATGCTGGGCAGAGCCCATGAACTGTCTTGTCTGATATCAAGACAAGTGCTTTGGAAATGGAAGGCCAAGGAAAATGAGTTTTGTCGGAGGGGGGCATGCGGGGAGGATATTTTCAGATACACGTTTGGATGCAGCCAAGTGTTTGCCCACCTTTCAGCCAGTCCTGCTTGCATCTGGCTAAGATGTCCCGAGCCAAACTACTGTTTTCCCATCACTCATTTCCTTCCACAGCCTCGTGGCGCTGTCTGAAGTTGGGCAATGTAGGTATGTGGGTTTCCGTGGTGAGTGGACAACAGGAAGAACTTGTGAAAGTCAACACAAAGTTTGAGAAGAGATTCGCTCAGGAAAGGCTGTGTATTGGCGTGGGAAGCATAAGGTTATCAGGTGGCAATATTGGGTTTCTATGGTGTTGTTGTCGGGTTGTACGATTTAACGGACAAGCATTATGACAGTGAGCGTGAGGGTCAGAGGTGATCTTGGACGCTTGGATCTGTGTGCACATGGCTGCGATGGCATGGCTTAAGAGGTGATGGCATCTCAGTGGGCACGTTGACACCCTGTATCGTTGGACACGCCATGGAATCTTTGTTCAGGAAGCCGGGGTTTTGGTAAGGTTTATTTTTCTGTACCTGAAAGGTGGGGCTACAAGGGGGCGGCACATGGGTTGCTATGGTTGGTTTTTGTTTTGTTTGTTTTGTTGTTGTTGTTTTGTGTTTTGTTTTTTTAGGTTCATTTTTATCTGGGAGGTATGAGTATAGACCCAATATTTTTACTAAAATGAATCTTGCATCTGCTGTTTTAATCCATGAAAAATTTTTTTTTTTATTTCTTCAACTTTCTGATTTTTATTGTTGGGAAATTTTGTTTGTTTCTTGTTGAATTTTGGTTTTTTTTCTGTAACTTTTCTTGCTCTTTGTTTACCTCTATTATGAGTTACTTCCAGGAATTATTCCATTAAGTTGTTACTCTTTAGCGTTTTGTTTCATCTCCTCATTTAGGAATATTTACTCACTTTTTTTTGTTTTGTTTTTTTACTAGTTTGATTATAAAGCTGAGGTTTACAGTCTATGCAGTAGTAACATGTTTTTTGCAGGTACTGTGAAAATGATTAATGAAAACTTAAATTATTTTAGTCTTCTTCATTTTGCTGTTTAACAGTAATTTTCCTGAAAATATTTTTAGCATGTATTAGGAAATAATTTTCAAATAATCATGTCTTTGTATAAATATGTGTGTTTTGGCCAAGCCATATGCACTAGATGATAGCATTTACTGTATTATATGTTTGATAACAATCCTTTCTCATTGTATTAATGTGAATAGAAATTTTATCTTCACCAATGCATTATGTTATTTTTTACTATAAGGTGTTATATTTTTTTAGTATTCTTGAGGTTTTACAATAAAGTATGATTCTGTTTAGATTTTGTGGAAAATTATTTTTTCATTCTGTGGTTTACACAATCTCTAATTAAAACAACAACAACAACAGTAAGCTTTTTTTCCTCTTTCTTTCTGCAGTGAGAAACGTGTGCACAAATGGGTTATCCTCGTTAGTCTCTTGGTTTCGCTGGATTTTTTCCCACCCACACAAGTTGAAATCCAGCGTGTGTTCATCTGTACAACATCTTTAACCAGCTCCAGAACATCTGCAACCCAAGAAGGAAATCTCAAAGTCGTTTTAATCACTCAGCCCGTGTAATGTTGTCATCTCTCAACTATTCTCTTTTAGTAATGTCTCTTACTTAAGTGACTTTTTTTGCTCACTGTGATCCTTCTTGCAACTTTTAAATAAAGATGATCTAAACATAAATCTTATGAGATATTTTTGTATTTGATTTTATTCTAGATTGTGAATTATTGGGTTGTTACTAATCTGTTGTTATATGCATTCATACAATAAGTGTTTTTTTTACAAATTCTTACATTTGGCCATATTTTCAACTTTAAGGTTATGTTTTTATTGCAGAAAGTGTACTTATTAAGTTGACAGAGTAATGTGAATGCAACTTTATGCTTTATTAAGGAATTTTAATTGATATAAAAGCTTGTTGGGCTTTGCTAGTAGCAGCTTAATGAACTAGTTTTTCCCATACATGTTTCCACTAGTTATATTTTTGTTTCTTAAACTCAAACCTTTAAGTCTCAAATGGAAGCACTTTCTGATTTCAGATTGTTTTTCAGGTTTTTTTATAATTAGGTACTCTACTTCTTGAAAATATTTGAATGATGTAAAGACATAAATTATTTTTCAACTAAAAAATGAGGAGTGAAGCTTTGCCCTATTGGTTAAGATACTGATTGACCATTGTGACAAACCATGATGAAGCTCTGGATGAACCCTCTGGAAATTGAACCAGCAAATTTCTTTCTTTCCCTTTCTCTCTGATATATAGCCTTTTATAAAGCTTAGATCATTTAAAAATATTTTCATTTGTATGTCAGAGCTACAAAGTGAGGAGAGAGAAATCCTCTATCCACTGGTTCACACCTAGCTGAGCCTGTCTGAGTCCAGTCTTAAGCCAGACAGGAGGAGATCCATCCCAGGGGCCCAAATGAGTGCAGCAATGCAAACACTTGGTACATCTTCCCCTTTTTTCCCACACACATTACTAGGGAGTTGAATTAGTAGTGGAGCACATTGGATTTGATCTGTCCACCCTATAGCATGCCTTGCATATCAAAGGAAAGGTTTAACCTAGCATAAAATCCTGCAGGAGAGCATAAAAGTACCTCTTTCTTGGTGGTTCCTCCAGTGGGGACTCGAACTTAAAGTGTGACATCCACACCAAGAAGAACTTTGGGACACAGGGTACAAAGGCGAGATGAATGAATGAATGCACAGTTTATTGAATTTTTCTGGTCTTATACCAATTTTTGCAGAGCAAGCAGGTTTGTAAAATTATCAGTTAATGGAACAATGGTAAGCAAACCTCTCCACCAATAGGTTACAAGGGATTAGGGGAAACAATCACCAGGCTCCAAGCAGCTGCATAAGTAAACATGAGTTACAGGAATCCACATTGGTAAACAAACAGATCTAACTAGAAATACAATCCAACAGAACTGTGTTTGTACTCTGATATGTTTAGGCCACAATCACTGAAGGAACAGGGAGATAATGAAGATGCCTCACACCTCCCCAGACATGTTAGCCAGCCTGAGGTTTATCAGCAATCTCAGCAGGGGGTCTGCTCCCTGCAGTGTTCTCAGTCTGCCTAAAAGAGTTAAGATTCAGAGTCCTCAGGCATTGTGATCTGGGATTTCAGGGGCAGATCTCCACAATGAATAAATTTCCACACTGCTTACTCCTTTTTCTCTGTTAAGTTTCCCAGAACAAGGTCTCTAACAGTTTATTTCAGGCCTTTACAAGAATTCCATATGCACGCCTACACATACAGCTACTTTGAAACATTGTGAGAATGGAATTGAAAGATTTGGGTTTTTTTCTGTGATAAACTTTAAAATTCACAAAATTCATTAGTGAATAAATGTACAAACATTTTTATAGGTGAGCTATATAATGGAGACTAGCATATCTGAAGTGAAGATATATTGCAATATACATATTTGTTCCTTTATAAAAGGAGGAATCCCAATGAAAACTTGATATATGTAACTTTACAATAGCATACTAGACTATGTACAATTGTCTATAACTACAGTACCACAATATACTGAAAGAGCAGAATGTAGGACTTAAGGCTATAGCTGAAGGACTGTATTATTGTGATAATATAGGGGAAAACTGGGGGAAGGGTGGTGGGAGGAATCCCTGTAATATGGAACTGTATCATAAAGATAATAATATAAAATATATAAATAGTAAAAAATAAAGCTTGAAATTTGTACTAGGGACTTTTAAAAAGCTTGAGTATAAGGCATATTACACAAAAAAGATTGAATGAGTTTTGATTTTTGCATCAAAATCACTTCATTGTTTAAAAGAATTTTATTTTTTGAATGACAGATTTCTAAAAAGGGAAAGATCTACAGCCAGAAACAACTTCTAGGTTTCCAATGTTGTTGCAGGGACCCAAGGATTTGGGCCATCCTCTGCTGCTTTTCTAGTCCATTAACAGAGCTGGATTGGCAGTGGGGAAGCTAGGACTGGAACCAGTACCCACGCAGGACCCTAGCGTGACAGATGAAAGCTCAATCTGTACCATGGCTTCTGGCTGGGCCCAGTTCACTGTAGGTAGGCCTTGAAGGACATCAGCTGAGGGGTTGGTAGCTCTAAGAAGATTGATATCATGGCAGGTCCAGAAACTGATGCCCAATTCCAGCTCACTGAAATCAAAAAATATTTCAACTCTCACAGACTCACAGGCAGAATGAATTGTGTACTAGCCACATATGGAGGCATTGCTTTGCTGGTTATGTACTCCAGCTTAAGGTCTAAAAATTCCAGCTGTGAAAGCAACATAAGTGGATTACAAATCATTTCCCCATCTGCCCTCCTGCCCGGAGAAGCTAATTAACTTGACATGTGGCGATTCAATTTGTACAATAAACTATGAACCTGAA